AGATGTCGACTGAAGAAAACGGAAATAAACACCTAGGAAAGCAATAAAACTGATGAACCACGCCTCGTGGTTAAAAATCCAATTTAGGAATATCAGGATGGTTTGCGAGCGCACTGCACAAACATAGAAGCAGAAAGTTAGCATTTTTCATGTACAATTTAACCAGCTAGAAGGAATTCATACCCCAACTCTACAGCACAATAGCATACATAACAATACTAGTGAACCAACACTTACGTTGGAGTAGGCAGCCGATCTGAACTTCTTGATTCCACCGTTGGGTCGGATGTCTTCGATGCTGTAGCCGAGAGGTGCTTCGTAGAATAAGGATGATTTACTAATACTACTACTACTACTACTAGACTTTTTACCACCTTTGGACTCCATTAAATCATTCAGTTCTTCCTGTTCATATCAAACCAATAAAGATATCAGTAACCAGATACAAAAGCACAAAAATTTCTTAACGTCAAAGCACGCAGAGCATGAAATCTATATCTTAAAGCTCAGAATCGAATTATTCTTGCCATAAACATACCACATTAGCCAAAAATTATAAAACTTATACTTTTAGCAATTATAAACTATAAATTAGACAGCAATAAAGGGGCAAAATCTGGTAAAATTATTGTTTTCTTTACAAAATCATCATCATCATGAACAAATTTAACCCTATAATTACAGGCTTAATTCAACATATAATTATATACATATACAGATTATCAAAGCTTCGTCATTTTCCATTCAAACAACATATTCTAATCATCAAAACATAATTTAATGTAAAAAGCAACAAATTCAGAGAAAAAACAACGATTTCACTTACAAATATCCGAAATTGTTAGGCACTCCGGACGATAGCTACCAACCTTCACGGAAACCCTAAGATTCGGGAATCGACACCGGAATTGAACGAGCCGGCGGACGGCGAGGTAATTGAGATCTCAAATCGATTTGGTACCGGATTGGAACGAAAACCCTAGGGATTTTGATTGCTGCTTTTGCTTAATCGGCCGTTTTGTTTTTCTGAAAACTAGATAGGTGTGGGGCTTATTTATAGGTGACGTGAGAGGGCTTCGACGATATGCCCACTGCGTGATAGTGGAAAGACGATACTAGCCCTACCTTGTAGAGGCTGCTGTGATAGGCTGGCGAGGAGGTTTCGTGGAAACCGCTGGGCCTTTGAAGGAGAAAAACCGATTCACGGTCATGCGTTATCCACTCTTATTTATGGCTTTTTAAACGTCATAAAACAAATAGAAAAATTCTCTCTTTATTATTTTGAAGTTCCGTCAAAATTGTGGTTTGATTTTTAATTGAATGATACTTTCGTTAGTTTAGTCGTCAATTTTTCTGTTAACGTGTCAGGATTTTTGCTAATTAATATGATTTCTTTAGTTTTTTCATCTCACTTTTGTATCTAAAGCATAACGCGATACTTAAATAAACGATAATTGTACAAAAACGTGACATTGTAAGAATAGAAAAGTGGTTTGCAAAAATAATTTCTCTTACAAAATTATAACATTGTAAGTTATATCTAGGGAAGGCTTGTGCAAAGAGTCCAATACAACAATTTCTTTTAAAATTAATTTTTGGTGGCTCAAATCTGTCGTTATGTTGTTTTTTTAAGGTTGTATTAATTGTTAATTTCATCAAGGTGCATAGAATTCTACATTAAATTTGACCGTGAATACTTTTTAGTCTTTTATTATCTTGAACCGGTTAGGACCCAAAAAAAAAAAATATCTCTGAACCGGCAAAAGTTGAGGATTTTGGGAATCAAGTTTGAATAGACGAAAAAGGACAAAAGACAGAGGGAGAATCAGATTCGCGTGGGAAGGCTCAATGTCCAGTAGCCAGATTTAGATTTGTAGGGGTACTTTTGTCACGACCGGATTTGTCTGTGGTGTGGACTGATTTGAACGGAGCCTCAAACCTTCTGACACGTGTTCGATTTCTGCAGCCTGTATCTTTTTCTCCTTTTTATTTATTTATTTTCCTTTTCCTCGGATAGCTACTTTCATTTCTGTCCACTAGTATTTGTCGTGCATGCCAACTTGTCTATTATTTGTAATATTTTTTATGCTTATTTTTCTCCAATAATTACTATTTCTTTAAAAAAATAATCATTATTTCTTTAATAATTTTTTGAGCCCCTCAATACTACAATTTTATGTTATTCTTTTTCACTTGGAAGTGAGAGATCTTAGATTTGAATCTCGTAGATGGTGAATTCGATACCAAATTAGGCTACATATTGTGTGCCTTAGCCGAACTCCTTCCCCCCTTAGTATAAGAATATCGATGTATAAGAATATCGATGTGGTGAATTCAGTGACAGAGTCAGCATGGGGTTATTGGTTATCCTTGATCCCAACAGCTTTAAAAACTCTATGTATATTTGCTTGTATATTGTATTTAACCCCAACAAACAACTAAGGCAACCTAAATTACGACCTCCTCATCCTACTTCTTCTATTTTCTTCTGTCATATTTGTCTTCATTTTCTCTCTTCTTGTATGAAATGTTTTAGTTGAAAAGCCTTGAAAGTCTTCAACATTACTCCACAATATCCTACATCCACCCTCGACAAGCATTTACAAGTAATAGTAGTTGTCGACATATGTTGACATAAAATTTCGGCATATGCTGGCAAGAATTCGTAGGTGCCTATTAAGTGCTCGACAAAATGACCCTATAAAGTTTTTTGTATTATGACCCTATCATTTGAAGATCCTAGCTACGCCACTGATTGTCCTATTAGATGTGACGGTATTTTCAACTCATTGCTGTGTGGAAATAAACTTTTCTCCTCATTTGTAAAAATTAATGAGGGAGAAAATGACAAGAAAGTAAGATCGAATCGATGAGGAATTCCGGCACGTGCTTATACAAATTTGTGTGAGATGTGGATCTGTTTATTGTATCCAACGCAGAGTGAGCTCATGTGTTTTGTCTACATATATTAGACCGCGCAAATTAGTGACACTAATTGATTTCTCCATTATATTTTAATCTAATTAGGTGTTGTTATGCATACTTCATCTAAATCATGAAAAATGATGTTCTTGTTTTTAGGACTCCGGCAGCTCTATCCTAATCAGTTAATTATATATAATTAGTTTGAATTATTAGGCTTAATTAGAGATAGGAGAGGTTTGAAGCATGGAAAAAATCCGTAACTTATTGTCTTGATTTTGGCATGCATGATGTGCGCCAGCAATACAGTTCAGTACAAGTAGTTGGACAAAATAATGTAAGTATCCTTAAGTGTTAAAATACAATTAGTTAGACAAAATAATTTTAAGTATATAATTACTTATATTATGCATTTGATGTACCGAATTATATTTATGTTACACTCAAAAATTTCTCACACGACACGACTGGGAACGCATGATTTGAAGGCATATAAGATGGGGCTATGGAGAAATGCATTATTTTGAGGTTGGTTGTGGGCCTTGGCCTCTTAGTGTTTTTGCATTTGGGCCTTTCTGTTTCTGCATCTTCTTGGGCAGTGATGCTCAAGTCTGTTGGTTCATTGGGCATCGAGCTTGAAACCTGAAGTTTGAAGTTGGACCAGTGCATTCTAATCGAGTTTAATCGAGTTTAAATTTCTCTCACTCAAAACTTTATGTGACTTCTGCGTGCGTTATTTACTTGAGTGACACATGTTTTTTTGACGTAATTTATCTATAGTTTTAGAATTTTTATTGAAGAGATATGTTGAAGAGTTAGTATTGTTAAGTGAGATTTAAATGAATGATCATGTGTCAACAAATGAGATGTCACAGAGAATTTTGGATGCAAAAAATTTGAACTCATTTTAATCTGCTAAATAACTAAAAGAGAATCATATTCTATAACTTTCCATGCAAGTGGAGGAGAATATTCCCAGCAAAAGTGCACAGCGGACTTCACACGCACTTCACAATCTTACTTTTTTCCATCTTCCTACTTGCCAAGCCGTGTTGAAGGAAAAAATTGTCTACTCCGTAGTGCATACGTAACACGGGTTCGTTACTTTAATACACATTTAATTGGTAAATTAATAAAGTTAAATTACGTGATGTGTGCTATAAGAACAAACAAAATTACACCAGCTTCGCTTTTTCTCAAAACTTGTAAGATTATTTGCCAATGACATGGTGAGATGGAGACTTGCGTCTTTTAATTAGAATTGCGAGGTGTCGACGTGAATAACAAGTTTCAAATTAAAGTAGGTTAACCAAATGGGCCCAAAAGGAGGAGGCAACGTACTTAGGAAGGTGCGGATCTTGGGGAGAATATGTTGACATCCTCCTATCATCAACAAGAAGATATTTTATGGGTTTTAATTTTGTAGATAACGAATTTAATGTCAATTTATTTTCACTTTTTAGCGTGAATATGTTGTTATATATAAAAATAGTGTTTATTTGATCATTGACCACATAAAAAAAATCCTCATTTTCTCTTTGGTTTTCTCTACTCAATGGCTTAAAACACAATACTCAGGAGTCAAAGTGCACAAGACCAAGGGAGAAGCGTGCCATTCTATTTCAAATGTATACGTTAATATAAAAAATGAACTCATAAACTAGGTGTAGTACGCAATTTTTTTATAGTGCGTTGGAGTACAAGATTGTCCGATTTTCGTTCGAAAGCATAAAAATCAAGATTTAACAAATAAAAAGTATCAAGGTGTTCTGTATTTTGAAACACTATTGAATTTTTAAAAACAGTGTTACATGTGATGTTAGTGACGTGATACTGCATAATTTGGGTTACAAGAGAGATTCGTCATTGTGCCGAAAACACAGCTTAATACATTAAATGTTATAACATAAGTGGTTGTAGATTTAAAAAACAAAAAATTCAATCATTTGTATCGTGACATTTGATGTACAAAACATACTTCTCGCACGCTGAAAAATTTATCCCGTTGCAGAGAGCTTTTTTTAAAGTGATTTTTGAGCTATGAGAATCTTGACTAGAACCCCACGCGTTAGGTTCCCACATCTCCCAAAAGTATTGAAGAAATAAACGGGGTGAAGAGAAACAGCTCATCACTGACACGACCCGACCACACCTCCACGCTCAGACCACGGTTGGCGTTGGAGCCACTCGGTCACTGCCGACGATCACAGATTCGCACCGCCTTATGATCCTTCCTATAAAGATTTGATTAAAAAAAGTCACTTTACCCAGAAAAAATCTACATTTTCCCCTTTTTCTCTTTTGTTTCCGGCCAGCCGCTCATTTGCAGAAGAACTCCCTTTCTCTGTTGAACTAACGATCTCAAGTTTCAAACAGGTAAACATTTTTTTTAAAATTTAAATTTAGATTTTGTTTGTTCTTCTTGCGTTTCTCTGATCTGCTTCATTTGTCTGATTTGCAATTTATTTTGTGAATTTAGATCCATGCATCATATATATCTACCATCCCATCCTCCCATTTTTTTGGGTACTTAATTTTATTCACAAAGTTTAGAGCTTTGAATGTTTTCTTTCTGTTTTGGAGAAAATATCTACTGGGTTGTATTCTTTCATTGTTTCTGCATTCTGGGCATTACCTAGGTGAGATGATTAATGTGTTGAATCACAAAAATTTGAATTTGGATTTTCATGTTGATCCAATTATCTTGGGGGGCAAGTTTACAAGCATGTATGATTGTATTCAGTGATGGGTTTGTTCAGATGCGTGGATTGAGTTATTTCAGTTTGTTTTGGTAGCAGGTTGGTTGTACTGAGGCTTATTTGGATTTTGTTTCGAAGCGAAAAATCGAAGCTTTATTTGGAAGAGATGGGGTATATTGGGGCACATGGTGTGGCTGCTTTGCATAAATACAAGTACAGTGGCGTGGATCACTCTTACACTGCCAAATATGTCTTGCAACCCTTTTGGAGTAGCTTCGTTAAAATCTTTCCTCTTTGGATGCCGTAAGTTTCTTAATCTTCTTCTATGATTTTATTGATTACTGAGTGTTATGATTGACTGAAGTTAAATTTATATACTCTTCTCTTTGGCTTTAATTGGTGGGTAAGGTCATGAGTTTTCTGGTGTTATAAGCGCTTATGTTTTGTTCTCGAATTTAGGTGCATAAGTTTTCTGTTTTAGTAGTTTCTGCTGGGTTTATCTTGGATTTATGTTATTCACTAGTCTACGTTTGATACATTTATTTTAAGAAAACTTCCAATTAGACAAGGCTGACAAGCAAACATTTGTAGTTTGCACGTCGAGTTCGAGATCTTTAGCTGACTTACTTCATGTAAATTTACAAACCCAGCGATATGCAGCTCTATTTTGCTTAGAAGATGGAATGCTTCCTTTAGTTGATATTGCGGACTTACAAGAATGAAAATTCATAGCATTTATTTTTCTGAGACTAGATTATCTCTCCTTAACTGATTATGATTTTTAACATCACCTGTTTGTGATTTTTGCTGATGTTTGCTAACGTTTTTCCTTTTTTCCTTGGTTTCTTCCCACGCTTCCGTTTCTGACTTTTTCTTCAGGCCCAACATGGTAGAGTGACCTTTACTCCAAACTATGCTTAATCATTTTTTGAAACTGTTGCCTTTTCATTGATGATTATGCTTTATTTTTTGCCAGATAACTTTAACAGGATTCATGTTCTTGCTCACATCCGCTCTGCTTGGTTATGTGAGTGGTTTTTTCTTGTCATCTTTTAATTTTCTGCTGTTAGGTTTTCCTGTTTATAATGCTAATCTTTTAACTCAAGCTTCACATTTAGTTTTAAAAATGTTCACATTTATCTTTTACTCTGGTTACGGTGTGCATGATGCTTAAAATGGGAATGTTATTACTTAGTAAGCTTCCCATGAATTTGTGTTATGTGTTTTTCCCAGATATATTCACCACGACTGGATTCAGCTCCTCCTAGATGGGTTAATTTCACTCATGGATTGCTACTTTTCTTATACCAGGTTTGCTTAAATACATCCAAGCAGAGTTGCCTTTGATTTTTCTGCGGTGTCCTCTTTATTGTTACACATTGCTATTCTATTTCTATCTTCATTGTCTCATTTTCTATCACTTTCCTGTTTGACCTTTTTCACAAAAATCTTAGACCTTTGATGCCGTTGATGGGAAACAAGCAAGACGGACAAATTCGTCAAGTCCACTGGGGGAACTTTTTGACCATGGTAATGCACTGCTATCATGTTTTTTTTCTTTTTTCTTTTTTTATTCCTTCTTCTATTGCCTTTGTACATTCACAATTGAATATTGATGATTTATATTCTGGCGGATCTCAATGAATTGCAGGTTGTGATGCCCTTGCCTGTGCGGTATGTGTCTTCGTCTTTTCTGGTCATTTGGTACCCTGGAATTCAAGTTTCTTTTTCATGTTTTATATGTGTTTGTTTAGTTCGAAGCATTGGCCTTTGGAAGTACTGCGATGTGTGGAAGATCTACTTTCTGGTTCTGGGTGATTTCAGCGGTTCCATTTTACTTTGCTACTTGGGAGTCGTAAGTTGTCCAGCTGAGTTTGATTTTGTTATTAGTCATTTGGGAATATACCAACTTTTTTTTTTCTTGGGGAAAGGAGTGGGGGAGTGGGTTGATTTGATGTGCTAGCATATAAGTTTGTTCACTCCATGACCCTGCATAGAATATTTCATATGCAAAAATAGAATGTGTTCTGATTTATGACTTTGTTGATCCAGTTACTTTACCAATACCCTAATCCTTCCTGCTGTTAATGGACCCACGGAGGGTCTAATGCTGATATATGTTGCCCATTTTTTCACAGCTATCGTTGGTAAACTCCTAATTTCATTCTGCTACTCAACTTGTATGTACAGCTTGAAGATAACTTCTAAACCAATATCTAAAAACTCTTCTTTTCTCTAAGTACATTTATTTCTTTACATTTTCAGGTTCTGAGTGGTGGGCTCTACAATTTGGAAAGTCTTTGCCTTTTCTGAGTTGGGTCCCCGTTCTTAGTGGTAAGGCTGAGCCTAATTTAGTTGATACCATACAAGTGATATTTGGCATCAAACACTACATTTTGCGAGACTTGACTGCATGCTATATTTCCATATTTAATTTGCAGTACCTATCTATATAGAGCTCAATGTCTCTTTGAAATGTATGCGGTTTGATTACCTTTTTTATATTTGTCGTGGATGACTATTTCTTTGGCTGCTTCACAACATATACTACTTCCATTGCAGTTGGTCTGAAATTTAATTCCTTTTTTTTTAACTTCAGAAATCCCAACATACAAAGCTGTGTTGTATCTAATGATAGCTTTTGCTGTCATCCCAACGCTCACATTCAAGTATGTAATTTTCTGTTCCCTAATTTTTTGAAATTTGAGTCTAACTTTCTCATGTGTAATAATTCTTTCTGTTTTTTCTATTATAACTTAATCCTGAGCTCTTAATACATGTATCATGACTTTTTCAAAGTTTACCACTTCCCCAAACTATTCATGTGTCAGAGGCTCGGAGATCACGTATAAACTTAAGAATAGTCCTTTGAAGGCCATTAGACACTTGGACCTTATGTTGGATTATGCTTGTGTGCAGTGTGTCCAATGTTCATAAGGTTGTTCAAGCAAGGAAAGCAAGTATGCTATTGGCACTGGCAATGGTATTGCTTTTTTCTTTCGGATTTTATGTGAGCTCTAGACACTTGATTGGCCTAATAATGGGTGTTTCATGTTGTTTCTTCTCAGATTTACCCTTTTGTAGTCCTTTTGGTAGGAGTTTTGGCATGGTATGTCTTTATACTTTGCATCCACCCCTGTTTTTTTTCCCTTAAAATTCTTGCTATTTTTTTATTTCTTTTAAAAAATGGTTTCAAAGTAGTAATAATTTATTTGCAGGGGTTACTTGTCACCAGCTGACATTATGGGGAACTATCCACATTTAGTCGTTCTGGGAAGTGGGCTTGCTTTTGGGTACCTTGTGGTAAGATATCCGTGTTTGTTTTTAACCGTATCTTTTGAAAGTGTGGTTTGTCCATCTCGAATGTAATTGCTTACTATCGGTGCTGTGAGTGTGCTAGATTTCCAATGTCGTTCTAAGGGGTTTTGTAGACAACCAAATTGTTTATTCTACCATTGTTGTTGAAAGGAAAGCTCTGTTTTGGCAGGGAAGATTGATTCTTGCGCACTTGTGTGATGAGCCAAAGGGTTTGAAAACTGGAATGTGCATGGTATGTAACAATCCCAAAACTGCTGGAAATTTACGGTCTGTTGAGTGTCTTTTTCTGGAAACGCTGAAATAGCAGCATCATATTTCTCAGAATTGGTTAATATCGACAACTTCTGCATGGTTTTTTTTTATAATTCAAGACCAGATTATGTTTCTAACTTCAATATTTATTATTATGTGCAGTCATTGTTGTATCTTCCATTTGCCATTGCAAATGCACTCACAGCTAAACTGAACGATGGGTATGTTGTATTTGATATAATGTCGTGAGCTCTTTAAGTAAAAGCGTGATTCTTCTGTTCTTGATAGTCTAGATGTTTCTGATTTCTTGAACTTCCTGTGTACCTTTTTGTTGCAGAGTTCCTTTGGTTGATGAGAGTTTGGTTCTTCTTGGTTACTGTGCGTTTACAGGTATGGTAATTTGTTATGAAGGTCCGCATATTGGAAATACATGACACACTGCCATTTTTATGGATGTAGTACATACTTACGAATTTCATTACACGGCACCATGCCTCATGGCTGAATTTCACTTTTTTTCTGAATGCAGCGACGCTCTATCTTCACTTTGCAACATCAGTCGTTCATGAGATCACAACAGCCTTGGGAATCTATTGCTTTAGGTGAGAATGTGTGTTACATTCAAAATCGAAGCATGTTACTCACCAAGTCCAAATAATTTTTTGACCAATACAGCCTGAAATTTGATTGAGCACAGTGTTCTGTGCTCGTTCTTTCACCTAGACGACAGCTTGCTTCCGTTCACCGAGCTTTGTTCCTTTTCTTTGGAGTGCCAATTGATACCGTACTTTTGATCCTAACTTGCGGTTTCTTGTTGAATTACAGGATAACTAGGAAGGAAGCATGAGTGATGCTGGTGTCAACTTTAGGGTACCTTTTATTCTCGGTTCATGTATTGTTACGATAAACAGTACATTAGAAATACTGACATTGCATCCATTTTCTCCTCTCTCGACATCTTTTTCAATTTTTGTTTCAGCCCTGCGGGCTAAGTCGAGAATGATGCAGCTCGAGCGAGGTTTCTCGTCGGTATAATTTTGCTAAGATGAGCGCATAGAGTGATTAAAATCCATTTCAATTCATTCTTGCTGTTGTATAAGACTACGTTTTGTTTCTTTCCGAATAGAGTTACCGATTTAGGCATATTTTCTCTTAGCTTTGATGCATCATTTGAAATTTATGTACGTACCAAGTTTGAGCATCCGATGGTGTCCGCTTTTTCTTCTCTTTCACCTCCGTCTATTCGATCATAACAAAGGGAAAAAAGTCGCAAAATGTGAGCAGTGGATATCGACGTTTGCCTGTTTTCGATACAGAATGTAGTTTTATGTTTACATGACAGAAATGTAATCAAACAACGACGACTAATGTGACGATACATGATACTGAATCTTCGCCACGGTCTCACTTACGGAAACGAAACCACAGTTACGGTTTTTTTTCCGACCTATAACATATGGGAAGTCAAATTATATAGCCTTCTCCAGCCATCTTGGCAATCGTAATGATGCTTTCATCCCGAGCCTCGTAAGGAACACCGAATACAATAGGTGGAGCAAAAACATGAAGGATCCGCTATTAATAAATACCTGTCACAAATATAAAGCCTTAATACTTCAGGATATAAAGAGTGCGTGTGCGAGAGAGAGAGAGAGAGAGAGAGAGAGAGAGATACCAGAGTACCAAATAAGGCATAAATCGCTTCCATTGACGGGACTGAATAGATGCCCGATGCAGTAAATATGAATGTTAGGGAAGCATGAATGTTTATAGTGATCTGCAAGCAAACCAAATCACAAACAAAAAACATATCAAATCTCGGTACTTACATAAAACGAATATCAAACAAAGGATGGTTAATTACCAGAGCAAGTATGTTTTCACTTATCAAGAATGACAATATCAAGACATACCCTACAGCACCCAGTGATCGAACCTGCACGCATAATAAAACTGTTACCATCAACTAAAGCGCTTTAACTGGTTAAGAGACAACCACTGCTTCGAACAGATTCAATGAACTTTGGGGGATAAGGGAGAAAACATTACAATTGTGCACAAGAAAATTGAAAGACTCCAGTTTGCTCCTAACCTGAGAAATTGAAACATAACAGTTAAAACTGAAGTAGACTCACCGTAAAACTGTGATGTCAATAAAGTAATCCGTAGCCACTGCGTAAACTAATTTGAATCACTTCATACCTCCATAAACTTCCCATTGTAAAACCAACTAAACCGTGCTTTAGCTGCACAAGATAATTAATTAGCATGTTAAGTGCAAATCATACGGTTCTCACCAAAATTTTTAAGAAAAAAAAGTTCAGAGTAAAAGCGACAGTGGCTAGAACAACAATGAACTAGCCAGTCCATCTTGGTCAATCAGTATGGATCACTAATCTGGAATGGTTTGAGAAGTATGAAATTATCTCAGCTATTCTATGAGAGGAGAGATTCCCAAGTATTAAGAAGCAACTTTTTTGAACACGAAGAATCAGAAAATTGTCATACATACTAATTCACAATAATGAGAACAACAACAGGACAGATAGCACGCTCACCAAATAGGTTAAAGCTTTCACCGGACCAGACAAGACTAGCAATAGCATAGTTGTTGTAACCTAGCACGATCAGAAAACAATGGCAATTATGTAATGAAATCAATCTCTAAGTTTAAACATGGTGGGTCATTGATGATCACAAACCATAGTTTTTCTTCCAGTAGCGATGCCCCACCTCATTGAGGTGATCACTATCGGCAGCGAGAAGAAGCAGCCAAAGTAATCCTGCACGAAAACCAAACCTTTTTAAGATAACCTATACTAGAATGCATAACCTCTCGTTAGCCCTATGCCTCTTAGGCTCTTATCATTACGTCTTCCACCACTAGCAGGCGTTTTCCGAAAACATCATAAATAATCACAGCGAAGTTCTTGCATAACCCGACATGAGTACACTAGTTATACACTCAAATTCATACCAAAAACAAAAGAAATTGAAAAATTAACTTATGAGGATTTAAACGTTAGAACCAAATAGCTATAATACAGTTCAAAACTTGCTTTTGTATATCTCTGCAACCAATCAAAGATTGAAACAATGTGGCCTAATACCAACTGAAGAACTACAAATATGAAAAGGCTGCTACTTTATAACGCAAGAAAAGTAACAAAAACACCATAGATTACAAAATCGACAAAATTAAAACCCTTAATTTGGGTTTTTCTCTAAATTATCAGAAAGCCAAATTTCAATCCAACCCAACGAACCTCAATTGCGAGAGAATTGCTGAGGAAGTACACCAGGCCAGTGAGAGCAGCAAACATGGAGCACTCCACCAACGCTAACGTCTTCTTATAAACGACGCCGTCCGGCGACAAGTCTTCGAGCTCGGTCGAAATTTCAGTGCTTTCTTCCTCATTTCTACAAAGCGACGACGTTTGGATTCCTGCTGCCCTGAGAAATTTGCAGGGGGGGTTGGATAGCAAAATTGGGGACGACGAAAAGGGGTTCGGCTTGGGGGAAAATTTGACAGTTTGAGAGGTGGGAGAGAGAGAGTGGAGAGGGGTAGTTTGGGAAATGAGGAAAGGTGGGGGGAGGTGGTGGACTTGCAGAGGAATCATGGAGATGGAGGTCACAAAGAGAGAAGCTCGAGAGCGGGAGAGAAGCTTTAGATTGGGCTTAATGGGCCGTCAAAATTTTGGGCTAGTTTAGTCCGGTTTGGGTGTGAATCTTTTATATTTATTTTAAGGGTTATATGTGCGTTGTGCACCCCATGATTTGATCAATGCACTCATTACTTATTGCACTGATTTAATAATTTAAAAAATCTTGTATCAAAAAAATAATTTAAAGAAATCAAAGAGATTAAATAATAGAAGGAGCAATATAATTTTTTGGACATTTTATGATTTGTATCTCAATCATTGGATTCTTGATGAATTAGATATTGTAGTTTTACACAGTAACACTAGCTGAAAATGTAGTACAAAAATATGGTATGAATAGCATTACTCATTTCACATGAGTTGAAAATTGTTTTCAAACAAAACATTAAAAAAAAATTCTTCAAATTGAATGTTAAAAAATTATTAAATCTTTGCTTTGTTGGATGTGGGGCTCACAGGAAAGGATATAATTAATAACGAGGATTTTCGAACTAAGTCGGAGCGGTTTTGAATGAAGATAAAATGAGAGATAATTGGTTAAGGCTTTTGGACATGTGAACTGAAGACCTATAAATGATTTGATTAGAAGATACGATTATGAGACGAAGTCTCTGGACAAAAAGGGTAGATGAAGATATAGGAAGACTTGGAAATAGACTTTAAGGAAATGTAGGAGCACTTGGAGCTAATTGAAGACTTGACGTAAAATCGAGCGTAATAGCATTCTAGAATTTATATAATCGACATCAATTAGTAAGATAAGACTTGATTATTATTGTTGTTGTAGACTCTTTTTCATTTTTCCGAAAAATGAAAAATTTATAAAAAGGAAATTTGGGTACAACGTTCAAGCTAAGCATTGAATAATTAGGAAAAGCTTAGGCAAAAGCACATGGGAAAGAAAGTGCATGTCAGACAAGAAGCATGTTTCTATAAAATCTGCAGGTAAAATTTGTACCTAATCATAGGCGTATTCAAAACAAAAGCAATCTTATGATCCCAAAACATTTAAAAACATCATTAATTTGCAGCACAACAAAATAATTATTCGAGGCAGCAGAGCAATGGAAAACATCATGATTACCACAATTCCAACATTCTCTTGTTTTTTTGTTAAATTAAATTAAACAAAACATTCTTTAGGTATATAATTGTTTGTGTCCCAATCCTTGCAAGGGGATCTGCATGCCTTGGGCGTGCGACCTTTGCTATTATTTCCACCTCCATTTTTCTTTCTGCCATTGGTTTTGTTAGAAAGAGGAGAAATAACATTGGAATGGGATGTGAGCGTGACAGTATTTAAAATCAATTATGTGATATATATGGTTGAAATATATCATGTGTCGTCAAGTGTTTTATTTTACTTATATAATATTGAGTGATTGTTTTAGAATATCGCTCCTTTTTTGTAACAGAAAATTTAGGTGGAGGAGAGGCTACCCCATTCCGGGGCTAGGACTTAACACAAGCCTTTTTTAGGACTTAGAGAGGGGGTCTTGGCCCCTTTTTTTTATTTTTACAGATCGCCAACTAAGAGGGATTGTCAGCAAAGTGACTCGAACCTAGGTTTTGGTCTACCGAAGAAAATGATCCTTACCAACTCAATCATCCCTTGTTAGTTAACATTGCTCTATTTTTTAACATTCTAGTTGCATGTAAAATTTTCTACAACTCAAGTGTAGGATTAAGTTCAACAAAAGTAAGACACGCAATTTGACTTAATGAAGTTGTTTTCTCCGTCTTCCATTTGTTGTTTTCTTCTGTTTTCTTGTGTGCTTCAAATTTAGGTAGGACTAAAAGGGATTTGTACCTAACTCATATTCCAATTCCATGTCAAATCATTTTCTAACAGTTAATGAGATGGAGATTGAAGCTTAACCAACTTTATTGGACTTCTCCATAATTAGACTCAAATTCCAGGTTTGAAATGCAACATAAATTATAAAAAATTTCGTGCTTGTGACAATATGTCCCGCAAGAGGCACTAATTAAGTGAAATTTATTTTCACTAATTAAGTGCAACATAAATTATTTTCACTAATTAAGTGAAAATAAGCTTCTCTATTTATGGTTTTTTTTTTTAATGAAAATTGAGTGTCGCTAGACTAAATTATCATAATTATTATTTGTAGGATAAAATTTTGAGTAAAGTTCTAGACCATGTTATCCGTAGATCAAATCTTACAAAAGTATAATACTTATATTTACTAGGTTTAGAGCTTATACTAAAAGTTTATCACCACATAAACACAAACAGACCATGAAAATCGATCCAAGGTGGAACACGACAAATTCTGATCACATACGATGATGCCACATGTACAAGGTTGTGATGATGAAATAGTATGAATGTGAGTTTACACACAAAAAAGGGTCCCGCGATTATGTTCATGAGTTGTGAAGAGACGTGAATGTGAATCTCAACTACTCCAACCCTCCACGGCACGTCAAACCCCATTTCATTTGCTTCTGTTTTTCATTGTTTGTTTGATGCATACACAAACCGGAATCACGAAAAATAACTTGTGAAAAACGAATTTACTGTCATATAATATTTTAGTTTAGTAAACAAGAAGTCAAAATGACGATAAATCGGTTTCATAAAGTTCATCTTATAACACTCAGGGTGCGAATCCATCTTGAGGCAAAGTTGATCAACTGACCCACACAAGCTGAGAAATCTTACATGAAAAGGTGGGTGTTGCCCTTTGAACCTTGAAGGTTATCTTCCAACTGCTCTACGAATTGCCTCTATAAGCTTGGAGAGAGCATTGCTAGTCTCATGCTTTTGTGTGTATTGCTATGTGCATTTGTCGATCTACTCACTCAGCATATGTTGATATTTGTTGGCATGCTTGCTTAAAAGCTATTGACATTAGTCGACGTACCCATTCTAAAGTTTTTATCATCTATCTACAAGCGTGCAATATGACTTGACAAATAACTCCAACTTTCCAAAGCTCGATGCAATATTAATTTGCATGCTATTCCGTCAAAAATTTTGATGCGGCTTTCTTACTAACCCCCAATAATATTTCCTGATTCCGCCGCCCATTACAATCAAACGTGACTGCAACCATTATAGTCGGCATTCAACGTATGGCTTTGCGACTTTGAAGCCTAACCAGGTTTTAGAGCGTAGCATGCTTCGCATCAGCATGGATGCTAATGCAGCCTAACGTATCATTGTCGTTTATTTTTGTAGTAAATGGTGTCAACGACATAGGTAGAGTTGTCGGTGGTACACGTGGGCAACATCCACAAGAAAAAGACATGGGAGGAGATTGTGTCTTGATGAATGATTGTAGAATGTCAAAAGCATGCGGACAAATGAGTATGCGTGCTTCACTCATGTTCCACTCTCACTTCTCTTATGGAATAAATAAATTTACCATCAATTTAATTAGTATGGCACTATGATTTATACAATTGAGTAATATTACGACCAGTCGTTAATTAGTGTCACATCTCACATCAACACTCAATAGATAAGATTGATTCACACGCGAGAATATTATCCTAATATAATTTATAATGGAGTTTCTAGTTGCACTCGCACATAAATAATTTTTTACTGTCGAATGCATGTGAAATCCACAATGCATCAAACACAAATAAACGTAAGTACGTGACACAATCCTCCAGTATAATTTATCAGTTAATTGAAAAACAAGTAAATCTTGCACCAATAAAGGAGAGGGGGGTATGAAAACCTTGAGGGAAAAAAAGAAGTTGACGAAACAGATTGAAAAGCTTGATGGATCTATAGACCTTATGATCTATAGACTTTACTTGCAATAAGAAGCATGGCTATATATCTATAATTCTATATGTCGAGTGAAGAACGGTGGCTTTGGTGGGTCTGGTAAAGCACTGAACTGATGGTAAAAACAGGATTGAAATCCTTTTCGAATTTTGCACTATGAAACTCGCGAATCGAATAATTCGGATCTTTCAATTTAAATTTTGTGGTTCCTCTTTTAAACTGTCTGTATTGCTCAAATCGTGAGCCTCTAGAGTGTGAGATCCGAAGAGAATCTTATAAGGTATTAGCAAATGCACGCAGAAACAGTAGAAATTTATGAAAAAGTAACTTCACTGATTTTACTCGAGTTTGCTGTAAAATTCACTTCCCTACACAATAATGCCTGCAGGGGGGGGCTTTAGTGCTTTTCTTGCATCACTCCTTTTTCTTCCCTCCCACTGTTTTTCAGGAAAGCAAAACGTAAAGTTGACGCCTCCTACTCCCTCCCATCTATCAATTCAATCCAATTCAATTTCCCATTCAATCACTCCAAAAATCTCACAGCCATTCTTGGTTTACTTGAACTTCCCAAAAAACCCTCCTCACCATTCTTTCAAATTCAAGTCCCGCATAGCTTTTTGGAGCTGGCATTCGATCTTTCTTCAAAATCCCATCAAAATTTTATATTTTTCTCACATACCCTTTTTCTTTTGAAGCTTTATCTTCTCAGAGATCGAAGCTTTATTATTGTTCCTTGAAGTGGCGGAGAAGCCATGAAAGAGAGAGGCAAAGCTGTGGAAACAGCTCACGACAATATCGACATGGAGTACTACTCTTCGTCCGAAATGCCGTGTCGAAGACACCCAAATTCGTCTTCCGTGGGGATATGCGCATTCTGTCTAAAAGATCGTCTACTCCAGCTGGTCTGCTCCGACTGTGGCGAGCAGCGCCTCTCCTCCTGCTCCTGCTCCGCCGTCTCGTCAAACCGCAACTCCACCGTGGAGGTCGGCAGCGTCGGCAGAGTCTCGTTTCTGATCGAGAACGAAAAGCACGAGTCTTTACAAAAACCCAACAAAACCCAAGAGAAAGAAGACGTCGTGGTGCTCCGGAGAAGCAGCAGCAGCTGCGTCGAGATCAAGAAAAGTAATTTTTGGAGATTTGGGAGGTTTTTTCGGAAGAAGAGATCGGAAAAAGATGGTGGGAATACGAGTGTTGGTGGGTTTGATGAGAAAAGTGAGATGTGGCTGGTGGATCATATGGGGGTGTCGAGATCAAGGTCTCTCTGCAGTTTCAGAGGTGGGGCACTCTTAGGATCGGAGGACGGCGGGGAACATTTGATGGTTTCCGCCGCCAGGAGCTCCATTTCTGCTGCGAGAAGCTCCAGCGTTACTACTGCCGGAATGGTTCTGGATTCTGGAAGAAAGAGTGGATTTAGTGAAGGGAGAAAGAGTGGATTTAGTGAAGGGAGAAAGAGTGGATTTAGTGAAGGTAGAAAAAGTGGGTTTAGTGAGGGGAGAAAGAGTGGATTCAGTGAAGGGAGAAGGAGCGGATTTAGTGAAGCGGAGCCGAGAAAAAGCGGTTTCGATGGTGAGAAGAAAGATGAAGTTGTAGGGTTTACCGGGGCAACGAAACGCGTTTTTTCGCTGAAGGAGAGTGATTTCGGCATGGATGAATCGGGGTTTATCGATTTGAAGCTCGATTACGCGGCGGATTCGAAGCCGGAGTTTTCTGGCATGAGGATGAGGAGCATTGCAGATGGAGAGACTGTTTTTGGGAGCATGAGAAGGAGTGAGTTTGTGGGAGGTGAATGTGATGAGGGATCATTTGGTATTTACAGGCATGGTGGTTCTTGTAGATTGACAGTGGATGAGAGGGGGATAAAGAGGGGGAGGAAAAGTTTGAAGGGATGGAGGTGGATTTTCAGGCATCATCCAAGCTGGGGAAGTAGTAGGAAGAAAGATGAAGATTTAATGTTCAAAACTTAACCGTGTCTTTCTGTGCTTTACAAAAATAATGTTTGTTCGTTTGATTTTCTTGAAGCCCTCCATTTGTAGTTAGTCACTAGTTACACATTTACTGCCAAGATTTTCCTCTTTGTATTTATGTTAATGTTGGTGAATGCTAAAAGGATGTAGCTCATACTAAATGAGACATTGCAGAAGTTGGTTAGGTCAGTCCGTCGAGACAGGTAGTCCGTCTCATCCTCATTCATTACATACTGCCTTGTCAAAAGATAAATTAGGTTTGCAGAACATAAAAACAAAGAAAGAAAGCAAAGGTCTTGTAAATTATCAGCTTACATTGATGCTGCTTTACTGATTAAATGGTATTAATTACTTCAGATCAGAGTGTTTTGAAATATTTATGTGTAGACCAAGTAGGTTTCAGAAATGCATATATTTGCCTGGATCTTATAAAGTTATAACCTTTGGAATTTCAGGGACACCAAAAAGAGCATGTCCCCTTTTCTTTTTCTCCATTTATCAATAAAGGATGGTTGGCCCAAGATAAAATGCATAGCCAGAGAAAGAAGAGATCGTCTTTTTTCAACTTTTTGATGGATGCAACCAGGACTTGCTGTAATCAGAGAGGGACTAGTCACTGGTCCTCATACGAAGTTGAATGTTGGGTCACACTTGCATAAGATCCATTGTTTTGCTTTGGGAGCAACAACGGAGTCTTGTAGTTGAAGAATTTGGGTTGGGCTGTTTGACCACCTAGCTAGTCGACTCTCTTACAAAAGAATGGCTCTCAAGGGTCCAGCACTTAACCGTCTAGACGAGGCGTAGGAAGGCTTAGCCTTTTTTTCTTTAAAATTATGAAATTTGTTATATAACATATAAATAAATATTTATTCATGTTAAAAAAAAAAAACATACACGTATTAGGATACATAAATTACAAAATATAATACAAAATAAAAGATATAAATTTTTTGTGTAAGTGAAGGTCACGAGTTAGGTGGAAGCCTAGATAGATCTAGGCGCTATTTCTTAGTTTTTAAACGCTTAGGAATTAAGAATTAACCGTGACCGTGTTGAGCCGCCTAGCGCCTAAAGGCTTAGGTAGGAATTTTTAGACCATTCATGCAACTTTTAATGCATACAGATTAGCTGGATGGTTGAATTGCGTACTGAGAACTAGTCCGACACACCCCACAAAAGAATGACCTTACTGTATTGGGGTACTGTTCAACCTTATGCAAATACAATTTTTAACGCACACGAATTAACTGGATGATCCAATTGTCCTACTAAAGAATTTCTCATCCTGTAAACGTTGAACTTTTATTGTTTAATCTCTTCTAAGAAAATTCTTGAGTCTAACTTCCGGACCACATAACTCGTAGAACACACCTTACGAAAGATAATCGACCTCACACGGTTGTTTCTACTACCATATAAGGAATGCCGCATGCAAAAATCCATCCTCACAAAAGAACATGCCCAATTCCGGAAAAGGATCCTCGCCAGATCCTTTTTTTAGAGATTCAAATTCAATGATCGTGATTGTTTATCGTACATCGTGCGATCAGTTTTCATTAGGTATTATTTATATTTAATTTTAAATTTTAAATTTTGAAATAATTTCTGAACACAGAATATACGATAAACGATCACATAATTTTATGATCCTTAGAAAAAGGATCCGGAAATGATTCTCTAACCCCAATGTCAACCCACAACAACACCCTTGGCTGCATGCATTACACGCCTCATCTTATCAGGAACGGAGATTTCCTCACCTAATAATAATAAGAACAAGGTTTGGCTGCTAAAATTTCAGCAGCCACTCCTACTTACACCCAATCTCGTGTGGATACGTGTACAAGTTTTGATTTTTTTAATCAAAATTTATACACGTATCCACAAGATTGGTTGTAAGTAGGAACGGTGGCTGAAATTTTCAGCAGCCAAAGTTAATTTAATTTCAGCAGCCAAGTTAATTTAATTTCAGCAGCCAAGTTAATTTAATAATAATTGTCAACATTCAACAGATAAATAAAATATTCAAATAATAATCAAACAAACAATTGACCAAGTCAAATTCTAGAGTCGTTTACCCTCCAAGACAAACTTATAAAGCACAATAAACCGTTTCCTTCTTTCTCAAAAACAAAGAGAAAAATCAGACTGAAATTTCTGGAAAATGTATGTGACAAGGCGTCTGTCGATGTACAAAAAGTCTCCTGCTGATCTCTCACTGCCTCCGCCGGAGGGTCCAAACTCCGGCATTCTTGTCATCAAAGACGAAGAAACGACATGCTGTTTCGGGTTATCGAATATCGATACGATTAAAGAGCTGCCTCTCCCTCAGAACAAGAGCCTTGAGCTTTACTATGCCGTTGGGTTTTATCCCAACAGAGAGCTTCAGTTCCACAGTGTTTTCTTCATCCCAGTTCTTGGTCAGCCCCTGTCTTCCAACCGCTACTATGCAGTATATCCATTTGGGAAGGATAGAGGGTAAGTTTTTTTTATTCGAGCGATATTCTAATTAATGTAATTTAAATTACTGTAAGATGAATTCGAACACGAGTGTAGAAGGATAGTTGAGGATGTATCATAACATTTCGTTTTTAAAAAGACACATTCTACTTCGCACTTGGTCGACGCACTGCCTTTGCTAATTGACGTAATGAGGGAGAGTTGTAACTTATAGCATGATTTTGTTTTGCAGGGAAGGGTACACAAGCACAAACGAGTATTCCATGGACATGGAAACATGCTGCTTCGACAGCTGCACCAACGATGTACTACCGCAACGTTTTGATCCCAATAACATGTATCAGCAATACAAGATTAATCTTCACAAAAAGGTTATCAATATTTCAGGTGGTTTTGTGGCCAGATCAATGGCTAAAGATGGGTTCCCTCCGGAGGCATTGTGGAGAAGAGGGTGGAAACTCACAAGCTCAACATCGCCCGGATTTGAACTAGGTGATGCACCGGGCCTAGACACCGCCCTACGTGCCCGTCTCCCGGATTTTAATTTCCCACTAAAGAATGTGGTTGTAGGGAAATGGTACTGTCCATTCATGTTTATTAAGGAAGGGACACCGCAAACGTTGATAGACATAAGGAACAGATCAATGTACTATGAGATGACACTTGAGCAGAGGTGGGAAGAAGTATTTGCGAAGGATCATAGTTTTCAGTGCGGTGAAGGCAATGCTGCGGGTGTGGATTTTGTTGTGCAAAGCGAAGTGGTTATGGTTGGAGGGAGGGAAGGCAGGTGTGATGAGAAAAATGTGGGGGATGATGGGTTGGTGTTGTATAGGAGTTTGAACAATGTTGGGCAAGAGACAAGGGTGGGGGTGAGTGTAGCAATTTTTGAGAGGATGAAGTGGGAGCAAGGGAGGGTTGGGTGGGTGGGGGGAGAAGAAGGGACAGTGAGAGTTGAGAGGGTTGAGGACTATGGAGGGGTGGGTGAGTGGAAGAAGTTGGGATTTTTTGTATTGGTTGAGAGGTTTGCTTTGAAGAGAATGGATGGGAACTTGGTTTTTAGTCATGATTTCAGGCACACTCATCAGATTAGGACTAAATGGGAATGAAATTTTGTCTTTTTTTTTGTGTTCTACATATGCTATTTATGTATCAAATTTCAGATTTTGCATCCCAAACAAATTTTCAGATGGGGTATTTGAACATTGTTCTAGCTTATGGACTTAGTATGCCTTTTGAAGTACTTTTTTGATTTATGAAAGTGTAAATTTACTTGTATATTACAAACCCATTCATCTAAGAAACGCATTTGAGGAATGTTCACATAATTTTGATCAATGTTGTTTACAATGTCCCATGTTCACACAAAGTGTACATTTACTTATGATCTAATATACAAAAGTAGATAAAAAAATTTGTCCGACAGTTGAATCAAGTGGACTATTCTACACACTCGCACAAGTCTAAGGTCATTATATTGGAGTATGTATCTACATAGAGTTAAGTGGTACTTAAATAGAGAGGATTTCACCTTGTGAGTAGATTAGACAGTTCACCTGATCCGACTATCGGAAACAAAAATTTCTCCTAAAAATGAGCCTGATTCTTAGTTCGAAGCCAGATTTGTCACATCGTCATATAGTTCAAAATCAAGAATTCATATGGAAATTTCTTATTGACTAATAATCGTAAGAAAATTCTTGAATTCCTTGCTGTCATAGGCTCATACATGACTCATATGGGGCCCAAACGGGCCGACCCCACGAGCCTTGGGTGCAAGTGTTACACCTACACGCCTCAGCTTTACTATGACAACCACATATTGTCAAATCTTATCAAGAAAGGCAATTGTCTCACCTAATAATTGACAACATTCAACGCATAAATAAAATATTCATATAATAGTCAACAAGAGCAGCAAACAATTGACCAAGTCAGTTTACCCATAAAGACAAACTTACAAGAAACGATATCCTTTTTTTTTTTCCTCATCGCCACCGCCGGAGGTTGCAAATTCCGGCATCATCCCAGATGGAGTGCTAAAACAATAATTTGTTAGTGTAAAGAACTATAATTGAGAACAATGTTTGACTACTCAAATATGAGTAAGAACTTCTACTCATAATTCTTTGTGTTTGAATTACAAAGTTTTGTGTCTATGATCAGAACCGATCATATTACAAATCACCTTAAAAAGACCATCTCTGCAAAAAAAAAAAAAAAAAAGAAGAAGTTAAAACTAAGGTCGTTTAATCAATCTATTATAGAAAATATATAGATGGTTTGTAATACTTTTACCAATTTCGTTAATCTATTTTAAAATAATTAAATAACTAAACGACCTTAATTTAAATTCATCTTTTGCATAGGCAATTATAATGTAATTTATAATATGTACGATTTCGATTATATACACAATGTTTTTTAAATAAGAAACAAACAATCTTAAGTAGAAACTTTAAAATAAAATAAAAAATAGAGTAGAAAGATAAGTATTGTTGCTTAAAGGTTCAATGCACCCTTCTAAGAAGGTGCTACAAACGATAGAGGACCCACACACATTGTGCCGAAAGACCTTTTCCAGCTTAGAGTGATTGAGAAGTGTACGAACCTTCCTGGCATTTACTGTAAAGGGATGTAATATTCACACATCTTATTTTACTTCTCACACATCTTTTTAATTTTCGACCATCAGATCGGATGAATTAAAAAAAATTAAAGGATATAAATTATCAAAATGTGTGAAAAAAGTAAAATAAAATATGTGAATAGTACGTCTCTATTGCAAATTGTCAATTTCTGACTCTCCGCTATGGTCCATACGCGACCAAATCAAAGATAAGATTAAACAATCGGACCAAAAAACAAAAAAACTATAGCTATCAGAAAAATGAATATAATAATGACTTGCAACCATACAAGGATGACTTCCGTTACCGTGACACATGCCAACAATACAAAGGTGTGTGTAACTTTGTGTTCCTAGAGTTGACACAGAATACCACAATAATATTATAATCGTGTCATATAAGTAGTTATTTTCTGTATATCACTAATTTTTCAAATATTCTCAGCAGCAAACAGTTTTCTGAATTACAGTCACCTAAACCATAACAAGGAGTTTACGTGTCTAGGACTCTAGGTAAGTTCTCAGGAAGTTTTTGACTTCGTGAATTCTATAAATTAAAAGTCTGCAAGCAAGTAATTTCATCAAAGCAATTTGAAAGTGAGCCAGTCTTTCTTTTCTTAAACAGTTGTCTTCTTTAATTTGGTCACAAAAATGTATGTGACAAAGCCTCTGTCTGTGTGTAGAAGATCTCCTCAATCACTGTCTCTACCACCGGAGGGGCCAAATTCTGGTTACCTTGTACTCCATGACGACGATTCAGTTGAGATAGGCTGTTGCGGATGCGAAGATGACAGCGTCAACGGCCTGCCTTTCCCTCAGAACAAGGATCTAAGAGTTGAATATAGCTCATCAGATGACGATGATGTTGCATTCATTCCCGTGCTTAATCAGCCCTTGTCTTCCAATCGATACCATGTCATACTTCGAACAGGGCGCCATAAGGGGTATGCATATAAATTAGATTTTGATCAGTGCTTCATGTAATTAATTTTCACATAACGGTATTACTGTCGCGTACGAAGTTGTACATTAAACATTGATACTGAGAATTTAATTTGCAGGGAAGCATGCACAAATACGAGGGAAGAGGACACGGATATTGGCTGTTGCGGATGTAAAAGTATTCCAGATGCTAAACCAAAGCCATTGGATCCGTCAGACATATATCAACAAATTGAGATAGTTCAAAGGGGGAGCGACCGCAGTCGGTTTTTTGCCAAGTCTGTTGATCCAGATGGTTTTCCTCCTTACTTCTTGAGGAGGAAAGGGTGGCACGTGACAATGAGCAAGCCGCGTCGTTACCAATTAGGTGAAGCCTCGGGACTCAACTCCTCGCTACGAGCAAGCCTTCCCGGGTTAGAGTTTCCATTATCACATGATTGCTCTGAAGTTGTGTGTGTTGGCAAGTGGTATTGTCCCTTCATGTTTGTCAAGGAAGGAGGGGTGAAGTTGAAGGACCAAATGAAATATTCTATGTACTACGAAATTAAACTTGAGCAAAGATGGGAAAAGATTTTCGACAGCGTTAAAGAGAACGCTGGAAGCAAAAAAAATCCTGCTGTGTTTGTGGATGCTTTTGTTCAAAGGGAGGTGGTCTTTGTGGGTGGAAATGAGGCTGTTTGGGATGAAAGAAATGCGGATCCGGGTGCGGGTGACATGTTCATGTGGTTTAAAAGTTTTGATGGCGCGGGACGAGAAACAAGTGTGGCATTGAGCATGAAAGTCGTAGAGAGAGTGAAATGGGAGCAAAAAAGAGTTGGATGGGTTGGCGGGGATGAAAGGAAAGTGAGGGTGGAGAGAGTGGAAGAGTTTGGGGGGACGGGTGGTGGCGGGTGGAAGAGATTTAGTTGTTATGTGTTGGTAGAGAGGTTTGTACTGAAGAGAATGTCTACGACGGGAAGCGCAGCGGTACTACTCGCATATGATTTCAAGCACACTCACCAGATTAGGAGCAAATGGGAATGACAGAAATTTGTTTGCTCCATGACTGGAAAGAATGGACGGGAAGTTTGCTACATGTACTGATCATCACATTTGGTATCGAAAAATCCACTTTGTCCTGTTTTCGTGTACAGACTATCATCGTTTTAGGTGCGTTAGTCTCCACTGGTGAATGGAGACTTGCGTATAGTTTTAATGGATTGCAGTACTCTTCTTTTATAATGTTTCTTGACAAAATCATGAGCAGTGTATAAATAAGGAGTGTTCCCATTATAATGTCTTCAATCTCAGGTGTAGCACAAAACTACAAGGGAATACATACAATGTATAGATGTACAATGTCTCTACGTATGGATAGAGACTCATTGAAAACTACAAAGGGATACATACAATAGCTACAATGGCTAGAAAAGGAATACATACAACGGCTCGGTTGAATGGCTAGAATATGAACAAGAAATATTATTTAACACAGGGAAAGAACACAACACCTTTGCAGATCAATCTATGGCATGGACAGAGCAATCTTCGCTTCAGTTGTCTCAAAATTAAAGCCCACACAAGTTCGAGGTCCCAGTCCAAACGTTATGAATGCGCCTACGTTATTGTTAGTTGCTTTCAAAACCCCTCCTGCGAATCTGTCTGGTTTGAAAAGGTGGACATCTTGCCCCCATATTTGAGGATCTTTTTTTTTTTGGAGAACTGGAAATGTGTCATAACCAGGGCAAAGATGCCAAGAGTACATAATGGGGCCTACAACGAGGCAAGCAACATAAACTAAAACCGGGTAATGCAAGGGGGATGAAGGAAACAGACGCTACAAGCAAAGCTAAACACGTCACCCCTTCCATTACCATAACTAAATTAAGGAGGGCATGGTAGTCCATCATTACATAAAACATGAACCAGTGAAGATGGGGGCCTATCGACCCTAGTAAGGTCACACATCTCCACACCTCTTCACGACGCCAAGTGGTGCGCCGCCATATTGGCTGATCTTGGAGTCCAAAACCAGCGACAGTCTTGAAAGGATACCCCAAGCAACTTGCGCCTCGTCAGCGCTGGAAAAGCCTTCCACCTGCCATTTGAAATCTTACCCTTAAGACAAGAAATTGAATCAAGGGAGTCAGATTCAATCACCACATGTTTCATACCCAAAGTAACACCCAACTCTGGTGAAGTGCAATGGTCGAGACAACCAATTCGAGATTAGCAGGAATGATGAGCTTTCCCGGTTTAACTTCCCTTTCAGCTTTCCTTATAAGAGAAACCAGAGGGGTATATAACCTCAGAGACTCATTGATGATCATGGTCATCTGCATGGAAATGGAAAATAGATAACATAATCAAATTTTCAAACATGTTGTAACAGCAAAAAAAACAATACCTGTTCTTGATATTCTTACGGTTCTCATTTTGGAAATGCCATCGTGATGTGGAGTTTGTTTGCCAAATAATTGTATGACCTCCATCCTTGCTTCCTCTTGCCAATCCGCATGGAGTGCCAGAAGTACGACAGTCCAAGCTAGTGGTTTCTTGTCCAGCAAAGTCAATCGTCATGAACCGAACCGTATGATTTTAATAATAAATTTATTCAAACCTGCACCAAACCGAACGGTTGAAATTTTCCGATTCAGATTTCGGTTTGAGATGGAATCAGGCCGAACCGAACCCTGCTCCCCTATGTGTGCTTATAAAGAATCAGGAGTGTCCGTCGGTTTAAAACCAATGGGATACAGTGGATCCGCATCCGATCAAATGTTATGATAACTTCATACATCAATTTGGACTTTTGGATGGTGCTTGTTAGAAGTTATAAAGATCAATAATAATATGGTTATGATAATTTCATGAGCATGACAGGATTGTACGCAGTTGCCGGGTACTTCCATATCTTCTGCATTAACAATCGGTCTTCACGATCTTCCGTTTTTTTTTTTTTTTTGTGAAAATTTCGATGGTATGAAGGAAATTTTATTGATAACGAAAAAAGAAATTACACCTAGTTAGGGAGGACATAAATCTTAACTCTCATTAAACAAGACAACAAAAAAGAATATGATAAACCTTATCCCTCTAGAAACGAAAACAAGAAAGATACAAAAAAAAAAAAAAAAAAAAGAGAAGACATAAAACCTAACCCCTCTAAAATAAAACCTACAGGTGTTCTTCATGTTTTTACGTTGATAGCATGTTTTTCGAAGATGTTTACAATCGTGCGCTTTGGATTATGTATAAGTTGCTCTAACTATAATCTACATTCAAATCCACAAGCATTAATACACCAAGCAGTACAAGAATTATGGGCAATTCTGGTCTTTGTAGTTCAAAGTGAGCGTATAGCACTACCTGAATTCCGTGTTGTGGCCGAACGGTAAGATACACAAAGGGCAAGTGAGGGAACTTATTGAGAATGAGTTCTATGTTAATGAGAGGAGGGATTTTGCTTGGGCTTACAAGTAGTTGAGCTTCTCTCCATATTGCTAATTAGTTTTATGATGGAACCTCAAATTTATTTATGGTATTAGAGCAAGTTGTCCCATGTGTGAAGCCAATTAGCCACACTCGCTCCACGTCACCCCTTTGTATTGTCTGCGTGTTAGGCTTGAAAACTCGTCACACGTTAGGGGTGTGTTGAGAGGAAAAAACTCGCCACACGTTAAGGGGCGTGTTATCCTACATTGATAAGACGAATGACCTTGCATGAGCTTATAAGAGGTTGAGCTACTCTCTATAGTGCCAATTAGTTTTATGGTGGAACCTTAACTTTCTTTACATAGATTGATAAATATCATGTTGAGAGTGTGTATCCCACCTTGAAAATTAAAGGACCTTGCATGTGTTTATAAAGAATCGGGTGAGGAGTGTCCATTGGTTTAGAACCAATGGGAAACGGCAGATTTGCATTTGGATTCTTTTTTTTCTTTTGGTAAAAGTTTGACGGTAGCAAAGCTACAGACAAACTCCCTCAACTTTTATTAAAACAAGCCCAAAATTACAAGCAAACCAAAGGCCCTACTTACAACTATACACAACCAAAAAAGGGCCAAATCCAAAAGAAAACCAGAAATAGGGCCCAACAATGGTGAAGCCCAAAAAGTACACAACTGCCGAGAAACTTCTATTGAAATCTCCATCACTGACAGAGATCCAGACTAGCCAGCTGAAGCGCCATCCACCACAAAGTATCGTCACCGTGGACACCACCGCCGCCAACCCATAACAACAACCCGATCATAGCCATTAACAAGAGATAGTTGGCACCCAAGAGGGATTAGCCAACTACCAAGAAGAAGCTCGGGAAAACCCACGAGCAACACTTCAAAAACGATAGATAGCAAGAAGAATGTGGTGGTGTTGGAAGCACCAGAGCCAAGAAAAAAATCCCAACTCTACACACGAACTCAAGGGGAAAAGTGGTTGAAGATCGGACTGAGGGAGAGATGGGGAGAGGGATACCGACGGGAATAGAAGAACAGGACAGGCTAGAGAGAAAATTGAGGAGAAACATCAGGAGAAGCGAAAAAAAAAAAAAAAAAAAAAAAGAAAAGAGAAAAGTGGACACGGCAGAGAAGGGAAAAGAGGAGAAAACAAAAGAAAGAGAAAAAAGGCAACCGACTCAGCCAAAACTAGAGTCGGCGCCAGAAATGATGGGCAAGATGGAGACCCTCGCAAAAAGAGGGGAAAAGACTCTCACGGAAGGAGAGATTTTGGACTTTTGGATGGTTCTTGTTAGAAGTTATGAAGATCAATAATGTAATAATATGGTTATGACAATTTCCATGAGCATGACAGGATTGTCTGCAGTTGCCGGCCACTTCCATATGTTCTACATAAACAATCATTCCTCATGATCTTTTTTTTTTTTTTTGAAAGCCTCGATACAAGAGAAATTTTATTGATGATAAATTATACTTAATTAGAGAGACATAACTTTATTCCTCATAAAACGAGACAATAAAAACAAAATACACAAAAAAGAAGGGGGGCAGAAACTTACCCCTCTAGAAACGAAAATAAGAAAAATACCAAGAAAAAAAAAGGACATGAAACCTAACCCTGTAAAACCATTCTAAAGGTGTTCTTCATGATCTTACTTGATAGCATATTTTTCGAAGATATTTACAATCGTGCGCTTTGGATTATGTATAAGTTGCACTAACTATAAGCTACATTCAAATCCACAGGCATTAATACACAAAGCAGTACAAGAATTATTGGTAATTCTGGTCTTCGTAGTTCAAAGTGAGCGTAGCACTACCTGAATCCCGTGTTGTGGCCGAACGGTAAGATACACAAAGGGCATGTGAACATAACCCGGGGAAAGGGTGAATGTGTATCGTTGTAGAATCATTGACAGAGTAAGCTTTGCTTGAATGGTGGCAAAGTTCAAACCCACACAACTTCGAGGTCCCATTCCAAAGGGTAAGAATGCGCCGGCGTGGTTGTTAGTTGCATTAGCAACTCCCTCCGAGAATCGTTCTGGTTTGAAAACGTGCACATCTTGTCCCCAGATTTGAGGATCATGATGAAGTGCTAGAGCTGAGATAACCAATTCAAGATTTGCAGGTACAATAACCTCTCCCAGTCTGACTTTCCTTCCAACTTTTCTCGGAAGAGAAACAATAGGGGGATATAACCTTAGAGACTCATTGATGATCATACTCATCTGCATGAATCAAAATGAAAAATTGACAACGAATCAGGATTTCAAACCTAATTGAAGGAATATTTCTGCCACTTGGACAAGCAGGATTTAATTGTGTTTTCAGTTTCTTACCGTTTTTAGTTTTGCAATGCCATCAGGATTTGGAGTTTGCTTGCCAAACAATTGCATGACCTCCTTTCTTGCTTCCTCTTGCCAATCCGTATGGAGTGCGAGAAGAAAGACAGTCCAACCAAGCAAAGTATTAACAGTTTCCTGTCCAGCAACGTAAAACGTCTTGCACTCATCAACCAAATTGTCCACCGAAATCCTCTGTTTGTCATTGGCATCGTGATGAGCTTTTACAAGTAATCCAAGAAAATCACTCCCATAGCTGTCCTCGTCTCCAGCAATTGCCTTATCTTCTCTTTTCTTAACAATCTTTATGATGGAGTCGCGAACTTCTTTCTCCAGTTTCTCAGATTCGATCTCATCGCTAGTTTTGAATAACGTACTGCAATATTGATTGAAACACTGAACATGAGAACATAATTAAACCTCCAAAATTCTTGTTGTGAATACTTCACTGCTGTGCAGCAGATGGGTGAACAATCAAAGTAGAATGAATAAACGTTAAACGCTATTCGGGATTTAGTTAAAAAGAAAGTTACCTGATGAAGGGAACCCTGACATTGAGAGCATTTTTGTATACTAGGAAGCCCAGCTTCATCAACTTATCGAAAATGTCCTTTCCTTCCATATAGCTACTGCCAAACGCTGTTCTAGAAATCACTTCTGAAGTCAACAATCTAAACTCTTCAAACACCTCCATCTCCTTTCCTTCATAATTTTTCCACCTTTTTAGCATCGTCTCAGCACTCGCTATCATTGCTGGAGTCATACCCTAATTTTTTTTTTTTAAAATACCATCATGCTATTAGCAGATTTAGCTTCGATTTGCTATTCTTCTATTTAAACAGTCGACACATATATTACTATATAGTACGCTTCTCAATAAACTATCATAACTTCATAAACTTACTTTTAAGCTCTCTCCATTGAAGACATGAGTGGCCAACTTTCGCAATTTTGACCATTTTTCAACTTCGATTGTTGTCACAAGGCCATCTCCTATGAACTTCCTCGCAAAGTTTAAGGGATCTTGTTTCGGATAAGCTCTCTCTTTGTTATTCAGAATCTCTTTGCACAACTCGGGTTCCGTAAGGACCAATTGACCCTGAGAACCGTGCCATTCAAGATAGGTCTTCCCTGTTGATAAGAAGACCAAAATTCATCTCGAAACTAAGAATACAGAGCAATAGTTAACTAATCGAGATTGCCAGTTACCGTATAACTTGGTCCAAGTGTGGATGTGAGGTTGAGCCACAGAGAGAATATCATGTGAGAAATTTTTCGGCCTGCTTGTAACTTCATTGATCATCTTGGTGACTTGTTTGGTGTTTCCATGGATAAGTTTGTACGGCGGTCCTTTGATTCCTTGTGAAGCCATCAGCTTCTGTATGCGCTTCGGAGTCCACCATAGCTTGTGGATGAGAACTAAGACAAGGAGCACACATAGAAAGCTAGAAAAAGTTACTATTAGGCCTCCCAAAGAACTCATTTTTTAGCTGTATCTCTGAACCTAATGAGGAGGTTTCAGTTCTCCGAAAAAAAAAAAAAAAATGAGGAGGTTTCAACACCTCTCGGTTTTAAGGTTTTCTGGCCTTTGTTGTTAGCTTTTGTTTGTTAGTTCTCATGCTAGTTTAGACCTAGGATGCCATTTGTTGGAATTTTGGTTGTTAGTTGTGATAACCTTTCTAGGTTCATTACGATCCACCATCAACATTACAGATATTGTTTCTAACTTAATTACCTATCGCTAGGTATGAGATTTTATTTTAAAAGGTCTCGGTAAGATTATGAATTAAATTTCCCATATATAAGTTATATTGCATTTTGTCATATGCTAGATGTGGGATTCTTTTTTTTAACACGCCCCTTCATGAGTGACCCTAATCTAGAGTCGTAAGGGAAACCAATACCCACATTGGAAACTTGTTAGGTCATTATACCAGGGGCTAACGTCAATTCGAGAGCACGGTCGGTCTCTCTGGAGTCTGAACCTAATGCCGAGGTTTCAACACCTTGCAATTGTAAGGTTTTCTGGCCCTTGTTGTTAGCTTTTGATTGTTAGTTGATATGCTAGTTTAGACGTAGGGTCCCATTTGTTGGAATTTTGATTGTTAGTTGTGATAACCATTTTAGGTTCTATCACGATCCACCACTAACATTATTGATATTGTTCCATGCTTAATTACCTATCGCTTGGTATGAGGTTTTATCTTAAAAGAACTCGTTAATATTATGGGTGAAATTTCCTATATGTAAGTGGTGTAAACTTGCAAGTGCACAAGATAGTCGTAATATAGCATTTTGCAAGTCCAAGTATCGTTCCCACGAGGATTCTAATTCAATCTCCAATTTGATAAACTAAACCAAATCTAATTATATTAAAGACACACAAACCCAAAAATATAAAATATAAACCCAAACAACTAGACTCGATCTTAATTAATAAATCAATCAAAGATGTGAAGAGTTTGTTGTGATGATTTTATAAACAAATAAAAACAGAACCTTAAATACAAATTAAAATTAAAGAGAAGAAAACGTTGTGTTTTAAAGCAAGTGATGAAAAAGTCTAGGGATTCGGAATCAACCACAAGCAATCTAGTTTAGGTTTCAATGCATTCAATGGATCTTTCTATTCTTTAGATGATAATTCCCGTATCTAAGTCCTTGTCAGGCACATTAGACCATAGTTTTCCTTAAGTGAATGATTCTCTCCTAGTTCAGGCAGATGTCGTATATCCTAATATGTAATCTATCCTGGTTAAGGCATAAATTCATCAAATAGGACTTTTACGCTTTTGAAAATAAGGGAACCAAGCAAACCATTATTCTTTGTCAAGCAACAACGTAATTTACCACACTTAACCACAAGAAGCTAATTGAATTATATTGCTAGTTCAGCCTCAAATTCATCTTCCAATCGTACTAGATGCAAAGTCCTAAGGTGATCCATCAAAGAACATTTATTAAAGCACTTGAGTTCGATTTCCCTCTCTTATCATCGTTTGTAATGGTATAAAAGAACGAAAACGTAAGAAACGAGTATTATACACAGCGAAAATTCTCCAATAATACACATCATTAAGGATATTTTAAACACAGGTTTTTCTTCCTTACAAACGATGATAAGAGAAATTAAGGATGCTTGCTTGCTTTCGTGTAATTAACGATGCTTGAAATTATGTTTCCTAGTTTACATTAAGCATCCTTGAGAAATTAACGATGAAATTAAGTAACCTGATGTAATTTCTGTTGGCACATCACCCTGAAATTAAGGATGGTTTCTTGTGATTAAAATTCAGGGTGATGTGCCAACAGAAATTACATCAAGTTACTTGTCTAATTACTCTAATGGTGATCAAGCATTAAGTAAATTAGATATTTTAAATATGATGATTAATAATTCAAAGCAAGCATGCATCTATTCATGAGCAAATTAATAAAAATCACATATTCATGCCAAGGCTCGTGGCCTCCCCCTAGCAACAGGAAATTAGTTACGTAAAATCATATATATTATTAAGAAGAAAATGATTGAAAACAACTGTAAAATAAAGTTGAATCGTCAAAAGCTCTCTAAGTCGAGTTCTCCAAAGTATTGCATGTGAACTCTAATGGCTAATTAGCCTTATTTATATTACTACTACAAGTAAAATACTTCTTAGAAAAAAAATATATTGTTTTAAAAACTAGGAAACAAAATAAGTTAAAGTAAACTAGGAAACATAATTCTAATCAATTATGAGAAATCTGTCCATCCACAGATGTCTTGTGCAGAATGGCCCATCGTCATAAACATCATCTTGGATGCCAAAAAGCTCAAAAAAGTCAAAAACATCACTTTGACAGCTTCGCACTCTGATCCTTTATTTATTCACTATAAAATTATAAATTAACGGCTCATCATAAAAATCTGAAACTTTGACATGAACATTTTGAAGGACTCACGAATATCCTCCAATTGGAATCACTTAACACAGATGAACAAGATGCCACTTTTGTCCCAAGCTTCTTCTTACTCGTCTGAATAGTTACTACAATCCAAAGAGAAATCATCACCAATGACATTGCAATACATGATTGCTTTCAAAGTGTTAAAAGTGGTTTCAGATAACTAAAAGGTCGCTTCTAACAATATTTGGCATAAAAACATAAAAGTGATTCTAGAAATAGTTGGATTTTAACAAGAAGTTTAAACTTGTTTGCAAGAAAAGCGCTTCTAGGCTGCTAGCATAAGCGATTATGAATATAAGTGCTTTCTTTTACTAGCATCAAATGCATTCAATATGACTTTGTGCTGAACCACAGTCATAAATGAATCGAGTAAAATATAAATCAAAAGTTACAACATTTTATGTGCACTCGCATTGGAAGATATAGCCTAACATGCATTCAAATTCAAAGTCAAATTTGAATGAACAAACGAAACAAACGCAAAAATGCAATGCAATCAGTATTAATATGGCAGTTTCCGATGCTTGTATTATATTTTGCTCGACTCTTGAAATTCCTCAGGTCATTAATAAATAAAAAATAATGCACTATATATGAGAATAATAATCTGTATTAATTCTACAAATACAATTACATGCATATATACAAAAATGGGAGCGAAAGAAAGCAGGGAAAGTTCAAGCTCTAGCTCTATGAACGAGAATAAGGAGGGAAATGAGAACAATGTGGCTGGTCTTGTTGAAATAGTCGTAGTTTTGGCTCTCGCTGCGTACGGTGCATCCGATGTTATTGTTTCGTGTTTGAGCCAACGAAGACGATGAACGCTCCGGGGAGGGACTTCCGGTTCTTTTGGGGATGATCTTGAGCGCGACCCTTCTGCTTATTTTAGGGACCTGCGCACGTAGCAAGTGGAAATATGAATAAACAGTTGTAGGAATGATGGAGAGTCCTGCTTATGTTTTGTTGATCCATTGTTATGTTGTATTTTCTCTGTCTCTAATCTGAATTGAGCGTTAAATCTTGGAGGTCGTTGAATCATTCAAACTCATCAAATAAATGGACAGTTCATCATGAATATATTACTTGGTACTTACACCGTTTACTGAAACATGGTTATTAATATTATAGAAAACTAGAATTTAATCCCTAAATAAGATGAAGTTTAGAAAAATGTCTTATACAAGATTAAAAATTGATTTTAGTCTCTAGAATCTATTTAATGCCAACATATGTATTCAATGTCTCTCTTTTTTATTGGATAATTTTATGAATTTTAATTTTAATTCTCATTATGGTAAGTATCTTATATAAGAAAATATTTTCGTAGAGATTTTTCAGTACACTTATGTTTTTGCATATTTTTTATGTGTCACTAATTCATTACATTATATTTAGGTAGGAACATTTCGGTACACTAGGTTAGTATAATATGTTTAGATACAAACATTTCAGTATATTAGTTTAGTATAATATATGTAGGTACCGACATTTCAGTACACTAGTTTAGTATCATATAGTTAGGTATGAAATTTTCAGTACACTTATGTTTTTGCATATTTTTTATGTGCCACTAGTTCACTACAATATATTTAGATACAGATATTTCGGTACACTAATTTAGTAAAATATATTATGATACGGATGTTTAGGTACACTAATTAAAAGAAGTTAAATAAAATTAATGAATTAAAATGTGTATAATAATAAATTTAAAATTTAATGCAATGACATTAAATAAGATATCTATAAAACAAAAATATAATATGAGTTTGAATTAAGTACACATTAAGAGACTAAAATCAATACTAAAATCAATATACAATCTGACACCAGATTTTTATTAAATTTTAATCGTCTTAAAAGATTAAAGTTCAAAAATACAATTCTCGACTTGCCAATCTATTTGTTTACTAACACATGGAATTGAAAAAATTTAGCTTGTTAGTTACTAACACGTGGATCAGGAATTTTAACCAATTCGAAGGCTCATTGTTTGCATATTCATTTGTTCTTTTCATTTTCATTCCCCAGATTCTAAATTTCTCTTGTTTCAAATAAGTAAACGTTGCAAAATATTATTCTTAAAGGTGCGAACGAGATAAACCATCCATAGATGTAGGTTTTGAAGTGTAAATAAGGTGTTGAAGGAATATTGAACGAGGTTGCATGAAAGCACGTCGAAAACATTGTAAAGATACAAAATTCTGGATGAATTTCTAAACATCGAGCAACCGATATAGTTCCAACCAAAATTGGATACAAAATTTTTACTATGAATACATTTATAATAACCTAAACGTTGCACAAAATTTGCACCATAGAAACTGCCTTCATCTGTCTCCCTTAACGTCCGCGATACAAGGCCGCCATACCTGCAACCAGTGAGCGAGCGAGTGAATTCCCGAAGCACCAACATTAGTAATCTATTACCTAAAAAACGTAACGGGAAAAAAAAAATCAGAAATGCTGCTAATATTGCCAAAATATTACCTTGACCTTGAAGGCAAAAGTCATGAGAAGGTACTACGCAACCAAAACAACCAAACTCATCGCCTTCTCTTCTTGCCTTTGCCTTTGCCTAATTGCCCAGACTTCATAGCGTGTTCTTGTTCTTGTAGGAAAAGTCGTACCTTTCCATATTTCTCAGCTTTTTCTTCTTCCATCAGCGCCTTATCCCTCGCCTTCACCTCGTACAGGAAAGAATTATCCTTACGCAGTTCACGAATAGCCCCTTTAGCTTCTTGCTTCAAAAGTTTCTTCATCTTTCTTCTCTCGGCTCGTTCCCGATCTGGATCATAGTCTCTGCCCTTAACAAAGCTGCATAACAAAATATCATTTAGTGGTGACTCCAGCAATACGTTCAAGCACTACCCAACATAATAACATTATGACAATTGGGTACGGGAGGTAAAGATAAATTACTTCTCCTCAAATTTCGGATTGAGCATTTTGATAGCCACTGGCTTTTGCTTCCGCATCTGAAGTGGTTGCCACAGAATGTGATGTTTATCTGCTTTTGTCTTAATCAGTTCAGCAACATCTTTCAATCTGTCTGTTAATACTTGTGGCATATTCTCCTGTTGTGCCACTTCAAGCAACAAGACTGAAATTGGCAAAAATATTTCGGGAAAAGAACTGAATCCTTCGTAAATGATGACAAACTCACGTAGAGTTTCAATCACCGTAACCAGCACACTAGCCCTGAAAATTAAAAGTTCCAACTTTTAAAGTCGTAAGACCATATGCAAACTTTACAGTATTGTTATTACACAATTAGAATTACAAAAGCAATAATCTGGTGGTGGCAAATATCAAGTTGGACCAATTTTGAGGATCATTTATAAACAGCAAAACTGAACAGTCTGCATAAACCCTAAACAACATACATCATGTGGGCACTTCCACAATGTATCATTGAGTAGAGTAACCATTTCCTAACCTGAAATTGTCAGAGCTGAAAAAAGAGGAGTCCTCCGGCAGGTCCACTATTGTGAGAAAATTAAGAGGATCGACCTGACCTACGGATGCATGTATACATAAAAGAGGCCTGGTTGCTTTTAATTCCATAAGATGACAAAACTGAAAGAAAACAAAGAGAGGATTGTTACTTCACCATATAACTGTAAACTAATTTCCTTCCGATGACAATAAAAACATAAGGTGCCGCCAAATATAAAAAAATTACGTTACAAGGTACAGTCATACCTGAGAATTTTGACTTGCCATTGGCTTTCTGTCTTTAGCTGCCATCAACAATGTTGTGAGAAACATGACTGCTTCAGGACAGAACTTCCGAGATTGTTTGGTGATCTACATAATACATTAATTAAAAGAAAGAACTGGGAATTGAAACTGTTGGACAGAACAGTAAATCAACCAATTCATATAACTACGAAATACATACACCGAGAAGCATAGAGCACAAGAAAGAACCAACTGCAGTATCACGACCAGACACAATAGGACAACGAGCCAGATATTCACACATCAACAGTGTTGCTGGAGTCATGACCACATGACGAAAATCAGAGCATGGAAATATCAGGGACCAAAGCCTCAGAAGAAATAATGTCTTTGAAGAAGGCCAACAACTCTTTTCTGTAAAAACAAAACAATGACAAGAAGTCATCACCTTAGCAAGAGCAAACTTGTCACTATGCTACCAAATAAACAAAAAGCTAAAGATTTCAATTTGGATTACCTGGGTTCTTAACTGTCCCACTAAATTCTGTCCGAGCCCGTAAAATTCTCTCACGAGCACAAATTGCAGCGAAGTATGGAGTCTCCATACTCATCTCAATCAATGGCTTAACCAAAAAATTTAACAACTCCATATTCAGTGGCTTTTTATTTGCTAATATGGCAAAATACTGCAGAAGTACACCATAAAATACCTGGAAAATGGCAGAAACACTCATGAGTGCTTGGCAAATATAATTAAAACCGAAGATGTATATCTTCACTTGACTTTTTTCTTGAATTAGGTCAGATATTAAATCTGACAGTACAGAATTGTTTTTATTTGACACATAATTTCAAAACTCATTTCCAAACATAGAAGCAACAAACAGTTTCATACTTGCATTTTCTTCCGGTTTTCTGCTGCAAGCTTGATTGCATTGCTTTTCCGGATTCGATTAATAATCAAGACAATGTCAGCATTAGAAAGATTATCCACCAATACACCTAATTCTTCGAAGCTTTTTGGAGCTTCAATTAGGTATGGGAGGTCTGATTGAGTAGAAGGTCGTTTACCGTCCTGAGATATTTTCTTGGCATCTAAAAAATCACCCTCTTTTTGACCGGCTTCAGCAGCATCAACTTTTTTCATTTTTTTCAGCTTTCTTGGTTCCATCTCTTTTTCGTCAGCATCATCATCCTCTTCATGTGCTTCAGACCCATCTTCTTCTTCTTCCTCCTCATCCAAATCATTTCCAAGATTATCATCATCACTTTGTTCCCAGTCCTTCATAAATAGACTCTTTTCACCTAGATTAATATCTTTATCAGATCCTTCACTGTCATCCTCAGGACTTTCTGAATCCTCAGAAGCGTCGCCTTCTTCACTCTCAGAATCACTAGCATCATTTCTTTCTAGAATCTCATCAACCCAACCCTTTTTAATCCGTGGCTCTTCATCAAGTGAGAAGGAATCACCAAGATCGTCTCCAGATATGGGTCTTGGCTTCTGGTTAGATGGTGTCTCAGCATCTTCATTGTCATCGTCACTATTGACGTCAGTGGCAAGCATCCTCTTCTGTCTCTCTTCCTGAATTGTGACCCAAATTCCAGTAAGCGTTCAATTTCATGCTAAAAAGGTACAAATGAGATACAACATTCAATTTCTGGGTTTTTTGTTCCACTAAGTAAAGGGCATGTTTACTTATCACGAATGGACATCCTAGGTATGGGTATCATTCCCAACATATCTTGTGTTTACTAACACACAAGGAGATAAAAAAAAAAGAGGGTCCCCATGTCAACCATGTATGGAATCATCAAAGCGGGTTGTTTAGATCATACCTGAACAACCAGGTATCATTCCCATTCACGACTTCTCCCAATTAAACATGCCCAAAAGGAAATGGAAAGCCTAACGTTCAAAAAGTTGAATATAATACATTTTGTTGTTACAGCACTAGAATCAAATTGTACTAGAGATGACACCAGTTACCACATATATATATATATATCAAATGAAGGATATATCTTAGTGGCCAAAAGCATATACACTGCGTATGCCAACACTCTACTATTATTTACTAATATGGACTGATAATATTGCAAATAACTTAAAAATTTGCACTAACAAGAAAAACCCTCCAGAGGATCAGATTACAAGTAGGACAACCTCAACCAAAATCATTTTACAACTGCTAACATATCCCACAGTATGTGAGAAAGAGAGTAATTCTTAAATTCATTTGAAACTGAAGCCCAGAAAGCTGCCCAATATTTTATTCTTCCCCATAGATCTGCTACCCCCACACCAGTATAATCCTCAAAAATTCTTTTGTTACGCTCCAACCAAACGTTCCAAAAAACTGCCGACACCAGACAACCCCACAAAGCTTTAGCTTTCCTCCCAATTCCTAGAGCCTCAAAATTAGTACTTAGAAGCTCGAAACAACCCTTTGGGATGACCCAACTTACTCTAACCTCCTGAAACAATTTCCACCACAGTTGAATCGTGTAAGAACAATGAAGAAAAATGTGGTTAACACTTTCCTCCTTTGCTTTACACAAACTGCACCAATGGGGAGAGATGCAAATAAAAGGACTTCTCCTTTGAATTTGATCACAAGTGTCTGATCATGAGGAAGGAACTACAATCATGTATGTACCAGTGCTTCTAATTTGGACATAAATTGATACCAGAACATTGAACTTATTAGCAACAATATAAATCCTCAACTTAAAGCAAAGGCAGGTGCATTGGCATATCAATTAGCATGCACATGACATGCATGAATGCAAAAAAATTCATAAATTGTAACAAAATAAGATACCTCTAAATGCTCAAGCTGCTCTCTCTCCTCTTGTGCTATCTCTTCAGGTGTCTTTGTCCTGTCTGAGGGTTGAGCACGGCTAACCATGACTAGGTTGCCAAAAGTTTTGAAATAAGAGCGGGATTTTTCCTGCCAAATCCAGAAAACTACATTATTTCCCAAGGCTATACTAAGTTAAACATTTAGAACTACAGCTTCACACAATATATGTACAGCAAACACACAAAATACAAAGGATTAAATTAAAAATCGAAAATTGGAAACAATATAAAGTGGGCCCATGGCACACAAATTTTAAATATCAAGGAATTAAAAAAAATCTTAAATAAAAGAAAAAAAATTAGGAAAAAGAAAACCAAACCGTAGAAGTTAGAAACCAATAAAGGACCTTCATGGAAATACCTGTTCAGAAAGCTCATCCTTCTTTGAATGCTCATTCGGAATCTTCATCTCTGGTTCAGCAATTTGTAACAGTTTGGAGGGCACTATAGATGTGAAAGATTTGTCCAATTCTTGCCTAAAATCTTCTAGTTCTTCCTTATCTTTTGCTCTTTCTGCCTGGAATGGATCAAAGGAAAAACAAAGGAAATCATAACTAAAAAGAAAAGGTTTCCAGAAACGCATGTAACCATTATCATCAAACAAGTTAATGCCATAAAGAATTAGAACCCCACCCTATAATATTTGTCTTTTGCCATAACCTCCTTCATTACTTCCTTCTTGCTTTTAGGTCTCTGTAGTATGAAAGCAATGAAACAAATTAGGATCATTTATAAGGGGAGAGAGAGAGAGAGAGAGAGAGAGAGAGAGAGAGATAAAAGAATAGATTATAGAGGGAGAAACAAGAAACAGAATTACTTTAAAACTACAATGACTTTCTAAATTCTAAAGGGAATTAACTCCTCTAGTAAGTCTGAACATGGTGAAACATCATACAAAAAGCCAAGTAGCAAAGCAAAAATGGTAATTGAAGCGATCAAGAAATGTAAATTAAAATCCTGAAATACAGGTACAATACCTAAACTCTAACAAACAATTTTTTTTATGTGTATATCTAAAACAATCTTGAATTAGGATATCACACAGCAAAATTCAGATAGCAGAAAGGGCCTCACATTTTCCTCTCCTTCCATTAGATCACCGTCCATTTGATCTGTCATGGCTAATCTTTCTGCAGAGAACAAGGTAGGCACCATTAGTGCAATTAGCATAATCCTAACAATCAATCACCAAGTCATGGGGAGAAGCACGTGTTTCCTACAACGTAAAATCACTGAAAAAACTTTGGTTAACAACAAAGTCTGCTATCATTTTGTGGGTTTTTACTTTCCTTTACTCCATATGAGCAAGAGTTCCTTCGGATACTTGTGCGACAACAATAAAGCCTAGTCTGGAAAATAATACTAAGTATGAGCCAGAATTGTCCAACTCAGCCATCAACCGCACGTACTTCTCTCCAAACATTACAGTGGAAAATCATGGACATGTCAATAGCCAAATATCAATTGCTCACTGAATCCTGACTGATGCATTCTAAATTTAACTTGCACAAATGAAACGAAAACTCTACTGGATAAACAAACAACACAGACAGAAGTATCTCTATCCATACTCTTAGTTTTAGTGGTTTCTGTGTCGTCGTCTTCATCTTCAGGCAGCCCATCATCCTCAAAATCATCCCTTTCAGATAATGCACCAAGACTTTGAAATTCAAAGTCGTCTTCTTCTCCATCTGATAAGTTATACTTGCTTTTCTTGTTCGTCTTCAACTATTCAAGAAAATGAAGAGAATAACAAAATGAGAAACGAAACACCATAGTAACAAATTACACATGATTCCATGAATTAAACTGAATAAAGTTCTGGAATAGAGTTTATAATTGCGTATAAAGCTCGAGAAAAGTAAAGGAAATTTAGATATCATATGTTAGATATGTACATTTTAATGAGGTAAGCTTTGTACAACGAACTACAACTGTTTACTATTTCCCTATATTTCCTGGTAACCAAACAGAAAACAAAGCTGACCCCAAACAATGGCAGAAATTCAGAAAATGAACTTACTTGACGCTCGCGCTGCGCACGCCGAATGGCCTTATCGAACTCGTCCAGCTCGTCATTATGCTCCCCAATTCGCTTATCAACAAAGACCGAAGCTTTATTACTCTGCTCGTACTCCTTCAGCAGCGTATTCTTCCTCTGAGCCACCAAAACATAAATAAATCAATAAAATCACAAAATTTGAATTAAATTCAGCAAGGGAGTGACGCAATTCAGTACCTTTTCAATGGCGAGAGAGCGGGAGAGGCCAACTCGGCGCTCTTCGCCTTTGCGCTTTTTGCCGAGAATGTCGAATTTCCTCCGGGACCAAATGGTTTCGAAGGGGTTAGGTTTTGGGGGGGCCTGGTGCTTCATGGCGACGGCGTTCGGACCCAACTTATTCTTCTTCTTCTTCGCCGCCGCCGCCGTCTCATGGTTGTGATTGGCGTCAGCTCTGCCCGGTTTTGGTGATTTGGCCTCAAAAGGGTTGGGTTTCGAGACGGATTTCTGGTGATGCCTCTCCTTGTGTTTAGCCATTGGGGACTGGTGTGAGCAGAGAGGAGATGGCAGTGGTTTAGGGTTTAAGCATTCGAGGAAGAAGGAGGCGGGGCTTAGGGTTTTGCGGGAAGTTTTGTTTGTTGGTTGAAATATGGGAATTTCAGACTGACGGGCCGGGTTGGGAACAAATCGAATCTGAGTCGGGTGTGGGTTGATTCGTTTGAGCCCGCCTCACTTATCCGTGGATTGTTTGTTAAACATTGCTTTTGATGAATGGTAATTAACATTTATTTTCTCCATAAACAATTGTGGTCTAGGAGACTGGACTTAGGGTTTCTAATAAAACTACGGGATATAATATGAGTGGACGACAAAATTAATATATCATAGACTTATAAAATATAATTTTAATAAATAAATTCACGTGTTATAACATAAATAAATCGATAATATTAAAATAAGTAGTACCAAAAACATATTGACTAAGTTCACCAGATTAATATATAGAGAACTTGAATTTTCTCCATATGGTGGTTTCCAATATAAAATAAGCTTGCAAGGGAAGGTATATGAATCAGAAGAGTTATTTCATGTTTCCATGTTGGAATTGTAGATGGAAGATGGAAAGTATACAGAAATCGCTCCTAAACCCTGACAAAGCTTTGGGAAGGCGCAGCAGTTGAAGGGCCCCGTGTCTTAGAACTGACCTGCAGCATATATTTCAGGTCTATATCGGACTGAAATAAGTGGCTTCTCTTCAAAGAAAAGATATAGGGCCTATCAGCTAGCTTCTTTAATTTATGCTCTTTTCCATTTTCTAAGCATGACCGCCTGCTCAGGCTTTACCAGAGGGCAACCATTCTTTGTCCTTCTATGCATATCATCTTTTTCTTTTTCCTATATATATATATATATATATATATATATATATGTATGCGCAAACTATCTGATCATAATCATACTTACACCCATATAATTTGAAGATTTGAAAACATCCATTACAATACTATTGATCATTTCCGTCAACTTCATTAATTTTTCTAATAAATACGAATGTAAAATAAGAAATTTCGTCGCCTTCGGAATCCTATGCATGTCACCAACTGTGTCCTAACTAAGGGAATATGTCCCAAAGATGCTTTAGTGTGAGGTTAGCTAGGCCTTTAGGCCCTTTACTGATACTAGAGGTATGAAACTTAATAAAAGTAGTCGGGGGACTCCATTGTCTCTCCAAAGCAATAACAGACCATTGGCCAGAATAATTGCAGTAACACTTTTTTCATTCACAACCACCCTTTTATTTACAAACAGACGCAGAAACAATCATAATTTGCGTGCAGTGAGATTAGACTATCATATATATGCTCTTGTCTTGGACTCTTAATGATTTGATTAGGCCAATAGCCAGAAATCTTTCTGGCGCTTTGTAGTAATCAAATACCCTCCAACCTTCCTGCTTTTCCTCCTCACAGCAACTGCCATGCAACTGGCATTTTGTATACAGTACTCCACCACACCGCCGCCGACCCGGTTGCCGGCCCACATCATCAGCAGACGCCATGTAGTAGACTTCTTTTTCTGCCCCAGAACAAGCAGTCCCACTTCTTGTTTCTTTGCCGCTTCCAGTATTGTTGGACCTTTCTCCTTATTCCCTTCCACCACCACTGCAACCTCAATTTCTACCTCTGGTCTCTTCAACTGACACATGTTCCTCAAAGAGTGGACAAGTGCATAAGCCCTTGGAGATGGAGCTATCTCCTTGCTGGCCTCCTCACCTTTAGCTGTAATAAAATAAGTAAGACATTATCATAAATTTTACATAATTTGTGTGTTTTTTACAAAAGTAATCTTAAACCGGACCTTAAGTCATATATACTTTACTCAAAAAATCAAATTAGAGTTACATAAAAGAAAATTGTTATTAAAACGTCAAAATAGTCATTATGCACCTGTTTGCATTAAAAATGAAAAACAAACGAACAAAAGACGACGAGTACAAAAATATTATTTTAGAGTACTAATTAATAACAATTCTTTATGAAAACCGACAAATTAATAAAACAAAAATAAAATGTCCAACCTTGTTTTGAGTTTGAAGATTTGGTGACATGAAGCAGCACAATTTTATCCTGGCTTTGCACAGTGTGAGAGAGAGCCCATTGGATGGCTCCTTTGGCTTCAAGGCTGGAATCAACCACAATCATGATTTTCCGAGCTATTACCAACCCAGCTTTTTTAGGGTTCTCATCACCACCACCACCAGCTGCTTTCACTTTCTCTTCTTCTCCAACATTCCCAGAATCCTCAAATTTTCCATCACTACTTTTTTTAGCGACATCTGAAACATCTGGCTTGGACTGTATCGGTGGTGAACGAACCCTCACGTGTGGCCTAATCCTGTTTAGGCAGAAATTAGGCAATTTTGTGCCTATTTTCCCCATTTTTCCTGAGATGAAACTCAATGGCTTTGAGATGCCTATAATTCTTATATATATAAAGAGGACTGACGCTGGACAAATTTCTAGATGTTGGTCTGGGGGCCACGGTGTTAATTTTATTTCTGCTTTGCGTTTGCTTTATTAGTCTTTTTATTTATTTATTTATTTTTATTTTTTTTTGGCCGTGTAATCATGTTTGTTCTTTGTTTCTTCTTTTTTTACCCCCTTTGTGGGTGCTATTTCTGAACGTGCTTCTCATGAAGCTGTAGGGCCATGCAAGGCTATGTGGCATGTTAGGGTAATCAATTTATTTTTCAAAGCAAAATAAAAAATACTATAAAAAATAACAATATATTGCTTACATATCGATAATTTTAGTAACAAATAATATATCATGATGAATATTTATTTCTTTAATTCATATAAATGATTAAACAACATCTGATTTGATTGATTTTTGTAGATGAATAAATATCACTACAGAATATTTTTTGTAGATAAATATCAAGAACTCTACTGTGTTAGGTGAGATGTTGTTTATATAATTTTTGTGGGGTTTAATTTTCATTTTTGTATTCCTAGTAGTGCTGGCATCCTCTTAGAGCAATTATTAATGCAAGATATATCGCAATTCAGATAAGAAAATTATAACTTTGTGCAGAAAGGCTTTTAGTTATGCATTATGTATCTGCATAAACAACTAGCGTGGCTCAAACGCAACCAAAATCATCATTGTGAGAGAAATCAAATTTTACACACAAATCCAATAATTTTTCACGCATTAAAAAAGGTTTATAAATCATTGAGCATGAAAGCTCAACTGCAGTTCATACTTTAGCATAAAATTTTCAGAAATTACAGTGGGATTTCTTGAGGTTGGTCTATATTTGATGCTGACTATAATTACATGCATGTATAGATAGAACTATATGACTCATGAATCATGATGATTAATAACAGGTTTTATAATTTTCGGCTAACTGTAGAAAAAATTGCACTGGTTAGAAGTTTTGGTTACAGCGAGATCATGCTCGATACATAATGCATATCGAGCTACGACATGATGAAACAAGTTAATGTTTGTGCTTGAAAACAAATTTTGTTTGTTAAAGTGCTAAATCTTTCATTAATTAGGATGCTAAACCACTTTACAGAAAGAAAGGACGTGCCAACCTCCATTTTGACTTCCAATCTCAAAACAGCCAAACAGTACAGACTTGTGAAAGAAAAAGGGTTTTCTGCATGTCTTATCAAAGAAAAGTGGCCAAACATAATCCTGTTTAAGGCAATTAAGCGAGTAATGTTGACTTGTCACTTCACAAATTTGTTGATTCAACTTTGAGTAGGTTAAAGCTGGATTAGTTCACATTTGTCGACATTTTTCAACGACGATAACATGTTACGTAGTATTATAAATTTACACTCATATAAAAGTTTCTCATCATAGGAGTTTCAGTCACCGCATAAAAGATGGTATTCTATGGTTACGGAACTATTGTAAAACACGCGTCTCCTTCCTATTTCTTGACTAATTTTGTGACATTTGTCTTGGCACTTAATCGGAATTAACACTGTTAAGTTCCATTATAACATAACAGAAAAGGAAAATAATAATCTTATTAGATCCTCTATGCAAATTGACCGCACCAACGACGATTTTGATTTAGATGGTTTGTCCGCCAATTGCGAGCGCACGCCACCAAGACCGCCCACCCTGCTGATCTCTTTCAATCTCAACATGTGGGTTTGCATCACTAGCAATCTTCGCATTATTGTTAATCTCTTTCTCGAAAACTTTGGAAAGATTGGAAAACTTTGGATTCAGATCTGAAGTTGCAATTGCCTAAAATTGTAGAATTTGAGTCTCTAAGACTCTAATGATATCCATCATTTTTTAAGGTAAACAATAATAGTGAAAATTGGTGTTGTACTAGAATCAACCTGGGACCGCAGCAATGAACGGAGGAAGAAGCGTTCGCTGAAATGTATACAGAAGCCGATACAATGATGGGATTATCATTATTTTTTATTTCAGTTATGTTTTAATGGGCTTAACAGTGTTAATTCTCTATTGAATTTCAAGACAGGTGTCGCAAAATTAACAAGGAGACATGCATGGAGAAGACATGTATTTTGGGGGAAAAGCATCTTCGCCTGATCATTTTCCTGACGATCTTAGAAATTCTGTAATCGTAATCATTCATCGTACATAGTGTGATCAAAAATTATTTCAAAATTTAAAATTTAAAATTAAATAAATAGTACCTAACGAAAACTGACTGCACAATGTACGATGAACAATCACGCTCACGAGATCCCAAAAAAAAAAGAATCTGACGAGGATCCTTTTCCGTATTTTGGGACATCATCCTCTTGGTAATTCTCTCACACATTTTTTTTTACAAGTAAACGGTTAAAATTTAATTTGGTAATTCTCTTACACACATTTTTTTTTTTGCAAGTAAACGGTTAAAATTTAATTAGATATTTAGATAAATCTCCACCATTCATTACTGTTGAATATTGAGCAGGAGAGAATAGCTCGTTATTCTTATCATTTGCCAATTTGGTCTGCCCTCAGTTGGTTGCGCCCATATCGTAACAGGCTTCAAAGTAGGCTGCAAAAAGAGTTGGGCTTCAGCCTGAACCAAAAAACAAAGAGAGACTTGCAAAGGAGGATTCGATGTCAGCAACGAAAGCCCACAAGAAATCTTACCTCTTTTTTTTTCTGAGTCTGTGACCTTTTTTTTTTTTTTTTTAGCTTTAACGAAAAACTCCAGTACTATTCATTTTAATGAAAATCATATTTTTACACTAAAAATTTAATTATGGTGCTATTTACTTTACTCTTTATTTTATCATTATCGTTAAAACTCAAAGTTTTCAAGTTATTTTCTTTAGTTTTTTTTTTTTTTTTTTTTGGTAAAAGAAAACTTTGACCTTTTAAGTCCTATTTTAAGCACAACTCTTTTTACTGCTTCTTTCATTTTTGTTTTTAGAAATAATAGCGTTAGTGAGGGGAATTTATCAATAATAGCAAAAAATTCACTTTTAATTTCAAAAATATCATTTTTTATAAAAACTTTCAATTGTATTTAAAATCTCATTTAAATAGACACAAATACACTTAATTAAAGTGGATAATGATCCAGCCAGAACTGCTGCATACAATTTGCATCAAAACTACGGAAGCAATTATGTTCAACTACAAAAGCAATTTGGATAAAAACTACATAAGCAATTATGTTAAAGTTACATTAGGTAATTTACATAATAACTACATTGCATAAACACTTGAGAACAAATAAAAATGTACCCAAATACATACAGACCCATAGCAAAGAACCACAATCAACGACATTTAAGTCTTATCTATTTCTCTCCCAAAAGTCAACGAAACCAAAGAACCAAAAAAAGATACCGACAGAAATATGGAATAAATTAAAAAATAAAAAGAAAATGTAGATGAGGAAAAATGAAAAAAAATTAACCATCTACACTTACCGTTTTTTAGGGCTACAAAAGTCTCCACTAGCAGCGATGCCTCCACTATGGCTCCACTATTTCTTAGATTTTGCCGTCAGAAATTCATCTAATAGGTTTTGATTTTTTTAGTTTATTGGATTTTAAAGTTTTAGGGTATTTGTGTCTATTTAAGTGAAATTTGAATATATTTGAATTTTTTTTTATAAAAACTGACATTTTTGAAATTAAAGACTAATATTTGGCTATATTTGATAAACACTTATATTGTTATATGTTAAGAGAGGAACTCTTTAGAGATTGAATCACATCAAAATACATAAATATTATTGTTTTCTGCCGCAACGCTTTTTTAATGTTGTTTTCTGTTTGGTTATGTGGAATTTTTTAATTGTGGACAGAGAGTGAAGCCTGTCTTATAGTCTTTAAACTCTCACTCATTCAATACTATATTTCTTTTAAATAAATTAGGTGATTTTTTTTAGAACAATTTAATCTTTCAATGGCGTTTCTTTTCTACTTTTTTTGCCTCTTAAATATTTAATATTTGATTTCCTAAGTTTTGTGGCGTTTTCTTTTCTCTACTTTTATTGTTGCAATCATCATCTTGATATGATTTTTTTTCCCTTTTTTGTAATGATCAATGCAGGCTGGGGACTGGTTAAGCTGATTCAAAAACTAAAGGCGTGACATAGGTTCTGATTGTTCTTGCTCCGAATCAGAAGATCCTATAGAAAAAAACGTTGACAATGCCAATATAGTGATGTGGGCTTCATTCATAACTTGTACAACAAAGTTTATTACTTTCCGTAATTCGTTAATTCTATCAGCTTCCTTGCGACTTGCAACTTGTTGGCTTTATGGTATAATCAAACATTCAAAGGTCTTAAGTTCAATTGACATCTTAATATTTCTGAGTTTCAATGCATCTTATGATTTATCTCGGTTGAATCCATTGAATCAAGTAGTGAAATCTGATAATCATCTAATTAATATCTATCTTTAGATAGAGAAATAGAGACCATCAATCAGCAATTGGAGAAGAGATTATTCATCAATTCATCTAATTTGGTTGCAGAAGCATCTTCAATACCCAATGGGGCACCTCAGATTGCACAATCTGGCACTACTACCGTTCAAGTCCAAGTTGTCCAACCCCCTCCACGCAAGAGGGACTAAATGAAGGGTTAATATTTAATAAATCAAAACCCTAACGAGTCAAGAAGTCATCATCTGGAAAAGAAGCCACAGGAGTTACTTATATCTATGATTTATTAGAATGTGACGACGAATGTCCCACATGCTTGGAAGATGATAATTAAGTCAGTGAAATCTGGTTCCTTGTGGCAGAATATTATTGAAATATATGCGTTTAGCCTTTTATTATCTGACTTTAGGATATAATTATCTATGCTGAGGGTTCCTCTATTTTTTGTAATGACTGCAGAATACACAACTGAGAATCTAAAGACAACCATGGAGTGTTCTCACCATTACCACCTTTCCTGTATTTCTGAATGGATGGAGAGAAGCTCAACCTGCCCAATTTGCACGTTAAGAGTAACCCTAATTCAGAAAGTGCCTAATATAGGGTAGTGGTAGAATCTCTTTGGTCCATAACTTGCCCAAGTGAAAATTATTGTCCAAAACATACCTGAAATATTTGGATTTTGAAACTTCTTCCAACTAAATTTAATCCAATCGGCAAACTTTGTGTTGCATCAGACCGTCGAAAAATTGATTTTCTAGGTGATGATATTTAGTGAAACGTCTTGAGACTCAACAGAAAAGTAGAGCTTTTTTTGGTCACCCAATCATGTAGATGCATATTGAAAGGCTGGTCACCGTTGTGTGTTAGATTCTTTAATTTCTATATGCTCCTTGAACTAATCCCTTGTTCGATTCCTTTTGTGCAATTCTTTCTTCTTGAAAGAGCGAGGCCGTAAGTATTCTATAAGTTTCCGGCTTAAAGTATTTGTCCAATTGAGCAATGAATTATTACATCAGTTACTGTTTCTCATGAATCTTGTTTTTTATTTTTCCTTTCATGTGCATACTTACATTACATGTATCTTAATCAAGCATTAAACTCCAAAACCCTAAACGAAAAAAGAAAAATCCTAAATTCTTCCGAAGTCACCTCAGTTATAGATACCAAAATCCTAATTTAATAAATGCTTTTTATCCAAAATAATTCATCAGATTGGCTATAACTCCTCACTTTGGTCACTGAGATTTAAAATCGATAGAATTAGTTTCAGAGATTGTCTACCATCAATCATTTTGGTCATTCGTGAAAAATTCTGTTAAATTGAAGAAACCATCAGTTCAAGGGAAGGGGTTGATTTGACAAAAATATCTTTAATTTAATGGAGATTTCTCAGAGAAGAGACAAACAGATTGAGTTTAGCTTGCTCATAGAGTTTGAAATCGATACAGACAGAGAGTTTAGCTCACACATTTACTCAATATTTCTCAGGTTTTTGGCATGAATATAAATAGATTTACAGAACACTTTAAAAGTTCAATTCCTCATATATGGATTGCTACAACATACCTAAAGCAGTACTTTCAGGGTTGGTCCAAATTTACCATGAAACCAGAAATTTAATACAGAAATAGCACACATATGTAGTTTTGTTTTCTTTCCATTTAATTCTTCCACCTTTTTCTACCGATTGATGATCAAGCAGCAAAGCATCCGAGATGGCATTCATATAATGGTTCCAGAGTCAGGTCCAGCTGGTTCCTCCTCACTTGAAGGAATTCATCTTGCTGCGTCCCCCTGCATATCATATCGATTGCATTGCATAAAAACAAGTTAATTAGGGTTGATACCATGTTAATTAACTTTCTTAACTGATTCATCAATACTGCTTCGTAAAACTGATTTTATATAACAATATTAACATACTAAGAGCATCTCCCTTATGTGTAGCATTCATACATCTCTTATTGGCTGAAAGCTCTCCAATAATTTAGTGAGGATTTAATACTCATCTTGACCTGCAGATTTAAATTACATTTTTTTTACAAGATGAAATTTACATCTTCCATTTAGAGCAAAAACCACATTTCGATTTCCCAAAAATGTAAATGGAATGTAAATGTGATTTTTACATCTCAAAATTGCATCTTTCCATTGGAATTGCTCTGGTAATAAATAAATGAAAACTTTAAAAAGACAAATTAACAGGCCCCTAGAATTAAGAATTTTACGTGGGAAGAATAATCACCCATTGTTTAGACATGGAAGTGGCTGTGGAAGCAGGTCAAGGCCATGGTTCTGCTGCTCCCAGTTTTGAACCTGGGGCTGAGCTGCAGCCTTCTCCTTCTCCTTTATCTATTTCCAAAATTTATATGAATTAAAAACAGAAAAACGAAAAGAAAAATTATCACGTCAAAAACCATCCAAGTTAAAGCCAAATATAAGCCCTAGACTACAACCCTAGCTGACTCAGTGATAAAATAGTATAAGCATATTATTACCTTCTTTGCTAGCAAGTTATTTTCCTCCTGTATCGCCTTTCTCTGTCACAACGCACAAGATCAAAAACATTTGAATGAGCTACCGAACATATATCCTCCACAGTACCCTTTCTCTTTCTCTCGCAGTCTAAACGTATTTACAACAGAAAAAAGAAAAAAAATGCTATAGGTGCCCTTACCTTTCTCTGAAGCTCAGAGATGGATTCATGCATGAGTTGGTTCTGAAAGAAATTAAGAGAATACTTTAGTGTCATCAAACTCAAAATTAGTCTAGTGTAAGTACAAATGCACAATTAATAGAGAGCGATTCTCATTAGTAAGCATAAGTGAGTACGTACTTTTCTTAATCGAATTTGTTTAAGAGCGGTGTCAAGCTGTTGCTCCAAATTTTGAATTTCCTTGAGATTCAAGGAATCCAGGTCTTCTCCCAAATAGTGCCTATGGTTTCTTTGCAAAACCTCAACCTTAGCCTTTAGTCTGGAATATTCAAAGGTCCAGTTACCCTGCGCATCATGAAATTGTTCGAGTAACTAGTTATAACACTATCAAAATAAGGCGTAGCAGTTAATTAGTATTCGGAGATTGATGGCATGGCATGGCAAACCTGTGACTCAAAATCTGGTTCGACTAGCTGTCTTTCGGCGTAAGAGTATCTTTCATAGCGTTCGAGGATTTGCTCCATGCTGTACATGCATGATCAGCAATATCAAACATATGAAAAGTAGTAAATAGTATCTAGATAGAAGAATGCAATCTGCTCCTCTATCAAAAAAAACCCCATCTTAATGAATTGATTGATTAATAATTTGATTGAAGTTATGAAACACTTTGAACGGAGTATATTCATATGATTAAGAAAATTAATCATGATCATCATCATATGAAATAATGTTGATTAAATTACAATCAATGCCGGGCAGTACAAACCTTGGAGTTGCAATAGTCTTGCACTTTCTATTCTTGTTTTCGGTTTACAGTCGAGCAAGCAACTCGCATGCATGTCATCTCTAACAGGTTCAAATACTACTACAGATGTGAGTGCGTGTGCGTATGTAAATATAATCAACTAGGAGACTGTTAATAACTTAATATATAGCTATATGTACATAATTAGCAAAGATACTGTTATGTATAGGACAAGTTAACCTATGTAATGGTCGCCTAGCTTCAAATAATTTGAGCTTCTGTTGAAGACTGTATTATTTAAATAAATATCTGAGATTTACTACACCAGGATTCTCGTTTTCTGGGTTTTCCTTTCATTTCACTTCAGATATTCTATAATTAAACCACAATATTCAAACTATATTATGTACTTGGTCCGTGCCATCGCCTTCGCTTTCTCTCAGGGGTATTATATATTATATATGTTAGTGGATATTCTCCTGCAGGGATTCTACTTGCTGCTGCTTGCACTCCTCGTTTGATGTTTTTACTTTTGCTGACAAAATTTTTTCTGCTTACTCATTACCATATATTCTAGAATCCATTAATTTAATTTAATATCACTAACAAAGATCAGAATTAGTAATGATATACTATAGCAAATCGCTCCTTAATCAAGCAGGTAAGTTTAATCTCTTCACAATTGTTAGGTTCAATTTAGTACGAAAAACTATCAAATAAGTACTGATCAACATGTTTCTTTTGTCAGACGGAACCACTAAATTTTAGACACGAGTAATTTGGCCAAAAAAAGAAAAGCACAAGAGAAGTACGTCTAGCTATTTTATAATTACAAAATACTTTATATCAAATCAGCACCGCTTTCATCCATCTTCTAATTACCTTGCAGGAACGACATCTCAGTTGACCAGCATCAGATTATGACAAATTAACAACTCCAGTTACTTCAGCTACAGTCAAATTATAGTTAACAGAGTTCTACCTTAGCACAACTCAGGGTTAACCATGGACCAAATTATAAGATCACGTGTGTATAGTACAACCCTAATTACAGGTTTGTAGTGAAAGAAAACAAAACAAAAATATGCGAAAACAGAAAACAAAACAGACTAACAAAGCAAGGTGTATGAAATATTTTTAGCTAGGTTTAGCTCGATCTCTCAAGCAACGTTTCTAAATCCTTTTACTTTCTTATAGATACAAATTTCTCGCGTACCTTCGAAATTTTCGGAAAATAAAAATTAGGTTTTTTTTCTTTGGTGGAAATTTTAGCTAGGTTTTAGTAAATAAAATTCGAGAGGAGGAGATATAATCAATTAAGAAATAGTATACCATGAATCTGTGGCGTACTCAAAGAGCTTGCCCTTGTTGGAGAAGACAATCAAAGCAACCTGAGCATCACACAAGACAGAGATCTCATGAGCCTTTTTCAGCAGCCCAGTTCTTCTTTTGGAAAAAGTCACCTGCCTGTTGATCTTGTTCTCTATGCGCTTTAGCTGAACTCTACCTCTCCCCATGATTAAATATTTATGGACTCTCAGTTGCCACTCAACTCTTTCAACTGCTTGTTCTCTGATTTTCTTTCTCAAAAAACCTAAACAACCAAAAAAGAAAGACAACCCAGAAACTGAAATACTAAGCTGTGCTATTTATATGCAAAAAGAAAGAAATACAGTTATAAATTAATGGATTTCTTCTTCTAGCCAAATATCTGAACGTGTCTGAGAAAGTGTATGTCCTAGTAGCTGTCTATACACACATTTGATTTGATGATAGATAAAGCGGTTTTGTGAATACAAGTGGTTTTGGGAAAACCGGTGGGATTTCTAAGGAAGTGTTGTCGATTTCTGATTGGTTGAGGTACACTATGTAGTCGTTTTCTCTCTTTCCAACAGGGCTTGTAACTGGAACCACAATTTTATTTTTGTTTCACACTGGTGTAGATCGCTACTTACTGGCTTCTATTCGGACTCAAAGAGTCTCAGGCATGCATTGTACGGACGGCCTTCAGCGTTACCATTGCCTTATTGCTTGACGCGTAACCAGTGAACGTACGTACGCACAGTACCACATTTTATCCAGTGAAAATTACTGTGATTTAACCCCATTATCTAGGGCTAAATTCATTATTTAATAATCTAAGGTTAAAATTTTAGGCAAGAATGATTGGAGTAAAAAAACTGTTTCTGGGCTAAAACCTAAATTTTATGGGCTAAATATTTTTAGGTTTTAAGTCAGAGTTGGAGATAGTCTTAGTACATGAGAGGTTGAAAATTTGTTTGTTTTTGGCCAGAGGAATTATACTGCTCGTTGGTGTCCCACATTTCAACAATGTGTTCATGATTTTTGTCCAAAAAAAAACAATGTGTTCATGATCAGTTTGACACGAAAACAACATTTAGTTGTTAATCTCTATCTCCTTTACGGTTTATATTATTCAAGATATTGATATACACTGTTAGTCTCTTATGAACAAAAAATAATTAAGCTAACTCATTTTTCCTACATAAAATGAGGAGGGGATCATTTGGTTACCATATTGTTAGTAAAATATATGTATTCATGTCATGTTAACATCATGTTATATATATATATATATATATATATATATATGAATAATAAAGAGCTGAAGGAAGTTGAGACTATTTTTGTTATTTTTGTTAGAAGTGTTTTTATTAAAAACATGTATAATATTATTATAAAAAAAATCCAAGTGCTACAGGGAAGAATGATATGTTTTTGTCTAGAAAATACTTTTATAACCTACAAATATTAACGTTTTCCTTCAAATGTAATAAAAAAAAAACGTTTTTTTATTGTTAGAAAGGACTTTTAACCATTTCAGAAGCAATTTTAGATTCTCAATTAAGTTTTAGTTAATTATTTGTATAGTAATCTCAAACAGATTTTAAGATGTGCCGTCTCTTTCTAACTGATCATCACTTTGCTTTTAACATTTATCTTATCTTATTTTCTTACGTAGTTCATCTAGCATGACTATCTCGACCCACAAAAAAAAAAAAAAAAAATCTAGAATAATTATATGGGGTTCAAAATTGTTTCCCTAACCAAAGCATAATAGGGAGGACGCACCAACCGGGCATCCATTAGTAGTAATAGAGTTGTAATTGAATGATTCAATTGGACCCCAACCACCCTGCAAATTGAAAAGAGTCCGCCGTTTATGGCCATGTCATAACCACCAACTATAAGTATGGCTTTACATCTTCGCCGTCCTCCACCACAATTCTGAAACCCATCACGATCTCTCATCAAATTTTAAACATCCTTTTACATCTCTTGGACACCCCAACAGTGAGTTATGCTCTTTCTTTTCATCGTCTTCATCTTTGTCCGCACATATGATCATACATATTTAGATTTTTTTGTTTACTACTTGGAAATAACTTTTTTTTTTTTAAGATTCAGCGATGTATTATGTGCATGATCTCATAGTAGTAGACAAGTTTATATATTTATATTATATAATATATCCCCCAATTTAGTACAATTGAGTAATTTTCACCATCCCCTTCATCCATGCCACAAATAGGCAAAGGCAGCATGACACTCGCCGCAACGACGATTAGATGTCGCCATGCGTTTGCTCATTTGGTAATACAAAGGAATTTTATAGGACACAACAATCGTGATGAATTACGGTAAGTGTTCAATTGTGTGATCAGCCTCACAAAAATCACACAAGCATTTCATACCCATTGGTAATAGGTAAGGTGAAAGGGCTAAAGGAAAATTTTAGGGCACAACTTTCCTGATGAACATTAGTAGGGCACAAGTGTTCAATTGTTTGATCTGTCTCACAAACACCACACAAGCGTTTTATACTACTCATTGGTAAAAGGTAAAATCCAAATGAAATTTTTAGGGCACAACAGTCGTGATGAGTTCTTGTGCATTAGTCTCACGAATGAATGAACCCTTCTATAACATTAAACGATACGAGGTAGCAAATTATTAATAAGTGAAACAACACATGATGTTCACCACTTTACTCTTTGATTGATGCATGATTCCTCTAAATTCAGAGCATCCAACCAGGGATGAATCCCCGACGACTTTGTTCCGAGGACGTTGCTACATTCACCTCATCATTTGTTACTGCTGGAGTACTGTAGCTGTAATAGTTAATGACCACTTTAGATGACAGCTAAAAAAATTAAAGCAACTGAATTTTATTAATTAACGTTGCCGAAAAATTCATACGCTTGACAAAAATCTCTATAGACAAAAATCACTATAAGATATGTGGTTACCCGATCTGCAATGTATTGTCGAATTGCAAATGCCCAGGGAATCCTTCTAATTGAGCAGCCTGGTGATTGCTATTCCATGATCGTTGAAAGCCAGCAGTACTTTCTTCCAACTGCAGAACACGAAAATTTACACCCCAAATTGACCAAATAAGTTATCTGAAAAACTTATTAAATGGAATAATTAACAAGATTCAAGAATCCATATGAAGAAACAGTTAGATAATAACGTACAGTTATAAAAGAAAGGCCTCGATCGTTTGCTGTTAGCGATTGGATTGGAATGAATAATTACTATATTCAAGGCACATTGAAGGAAGGAATGAAAGGTAGTGTCCAACTTGAAGATGGAATATGACTCGTGAAGTAAACTTACATATTTCAATCCCCAAAATGGTAGGATTAGAAAACATATGTCATTCATATCTAATCTCCTTATGACCCCTAATATGAAAAATCATTCACCTTTACTTTCAATATCCCTTGTGTTTTATAAGTTAACCAATCCATTTCAATCCTAAGAACCAAACGAGCCCAATAGTGCTTTGCATTACTATAGTTATACAACTAAGGATAGGAAATCCATATGATGAGGACTCTATTAGATTTTGCCTTGAAATGTTGTAATCAATGAATAGCTAATTAAGATGTATTATACAGCATGATGAATTTCCATTGCATGAAAAACAAAAATGATTAATGGTCAAATGGCTGAGAATGCAGCAGTAGTTTGGTATTACGTACCTTCCTTCTCAGTCCAGTGTTTGCTTCCAGCAGCATTTCTTCCTGCACAATTAATTCTTAAAAGATTTGGTAACTTATATACACACATATATTATGTGTATACATACATACATACATACATACATATATATATATATATATGTTGTTTGCAAAATACTTACTTTCCTCTGAAGCTCAGAAATCTGAACATGCATAAATTGGGTCTGCCAACAGATGAAATGTAAATCGAGATTCTCTGTTAAGATTTCTTTTAACTAACTCGCCATCTTTTTCACGCTCATGGAACAAATTATGAATACCTTAGTGGACCTGATTTTCTTCAATGACATATCGAGTTGATTCTCAAGCTGCTGAAGCTCCTTCATGCCTAAATGAACCAAATCTTCCCCAAGAAGATGTCTAAAAACATGCCAAGTAAAAGTTTTCATGAACAATATATCAATTGTGTCCACTCTTTGCATTTTTAATGCGATCATCGAACAAACTGTCTAATTTTATCTACAAAAGTTCTAGTGCAAATGTATCGCTATATACATATATGTGTGTGTGTGCAATATATATGATCGATATACGTAATACCTCTGCGTGCGTTGTAGGGCCTCTACTTTCGTTTTTAGCTTCAAGTAGTCTTGGTATCTACTCTGCTTGTGAACATGCATGGCACAAGTTCACCTTATGTCAAAAATCCATAGGGCAGGATTTTGTGAAAGAAATTCCATTACCAATAACATAAAACTTAAACCAACCCACGAATTTGTCCCTAACAGATTGAGAATAGTTGAATAATGGATAATATAGGTTGCTTTACCCAACTTATGTCATTGCAGGTAATAGATGTATCCATCTTAAAGCTAATTACAAATGAGAAACTATCGGTAACCTGTTCGTCCTCAGCAGATTGACTTGCTCCCAGTTCTCCATAAGTGCATCTTTGATACCTCTCAAGCGTCTTCGCCATGCTGAAATGAAAGCAAAGCAACAATTATAGGACAGTGATCAGAATGCAAATTCAAAAGAGAAAAGAGCGCATGCATTTTGCACTGATTCAAATGCCAGTAAAGAAAAGCCCAAAAGCATGCAACAAAATCTGGGAGCAAGACATTTTAATTAATTTTGTAGTTCCAAGTTTTTTTAATCACAATTGATATTACTACTCTAAACCACATAAATAATAGGGAAACATTTAAACCAGGGACGCAGTGAGTTGAAGAGGAAGACATTTCCACCAATTCACAACCTTGGCAATTTTGTAGTTCCAAACTTAAGAACGAATTAAAGGGATCAAACAGCCATATGATTTCAAATTTGAGTGATTTTGATATAGATGATCTTTAAGGGAAAACCTAAAAGATAGACGGTTATATCATAGAAATATATTATGGAGTTGACCCTAAGAAAGGGTGCCAAAAAAATGTATGTCCCCCCATCCTAACCTCTGTGTGTGTGTGTGGGAATGCATATAAACGATCTTCAAATGTATACATTTTGGATCCAGAAATGATTTCCAATTCGAATTATTTTATGTATGGATGAGCTTCAAATGAAGCTTAAGAAACTGAATAGTTTCAATAACTAAGTTTATACAATGGAGAAGCCCATGTAGGAAAGCAAGTATTGGTGCAAGGTACGGCTACATCTATATATTTATTGAGATTGTCATAACTTCTCACTTTAGTCACTGAGATTTAAAACCAATAAAATTGGTCTCTGAGATTGTCCAACGTCAATCATTTTGGTCCTTATGTGAAAAATCTCTGTTAAACTGAAGAAATCACCAGTTCAATGAGAAGGGTTGATTTGACAACAATACCCTAAATTTAACAGAGATTTTTCATAGAATAACTAAAATGATTGACAGATTGATTTTAAATCTGAGGAATCAAAATGAGGAGTTAAGCCAATCTTAAGGACCATTTTGGATAAATAACCTTAAATATAGCTGGAAATGTGGATTGCAAAGTATTTAATGAAGGTATTCGAAATATATTACAGGATCACTACAAAGACATAAACAATAGATTTGCAAGATAGAGATTCTCGGCCTCCCCTCCAATAAAATTAGATAAGCTCTCCCTCCAACGACAAACCCTAACTTTGCCAACCTTCAGTCGCCGGTCCCTTGCTTAGGCTTGGACCGGCGGCAACCCCTCCTACCTCCTTCTAGCATCCCCCGCTTCCTAGTCTCTTCACCCCTTGCTTCCTACCCTCCATCCTCTTACTGCGACCCACACATTTTTTTCCTTTCTTTCCGTGCACCCGACCCCTTCCCCTCACTGCTTTCTCTTTTTTCTCTGTTCCTTGGTTTGCCTAACGCCTTCTCCCCTCACTCTTCTGTGCGCAACCCGTTTTCATGGCTTTGTTGTGATCCTCTAACCCACTTCCCCAATTTTATTGCCATACAGGGCTTATCCCTTGTTTAGGGCTTAGATATGCAATTTTGGGTTGGTCTTTGGGTTGTTTTTGTGGGTATTTGACTTGCTTTTTTTGGTTTTTTGCTCTTCTTACCTAGTTGGTGGCGGTCATGGCTACCAGAAGTTTCATTTATTCGAGTTCGTGTAGCTTCTGTTTCTTGGGTGAGGTTGCACATAGAGCATTCCCAGCGGCGGCTTCTTGGGCACCCGCAGTGATGATGTGCATATTTGCTAGCAAAATTTTCTCTCGGTTGTTTGGACTTCCTAAAGGCTCTGCCCTTGGAATTATCGTTTTGTCCTCTTTGGGTTCATGATGGTGGTAAGGATGGTAATGCAGTGACGTGGGTGGTCTTGGCTTGGCAACCCTTTACCATCCATGTCGTTGCCACTATTTCTTGCCATAACTGCGACCTACACCGTTACGAGGAATTTCTGGCGGCTCTTGGTGCTATCATGCTTTATGGAGGTTTTTAGATTGTGGTGGCGTTCCGACTACTTTTGTGGCTCTGGCTGGATCCCTTCCGCCCCACCCCTCTGAGTTTGTCCCATCTACAGCTGGCCTCGCACACCTTCTGATATTTTTGCACGTGCCTCTTCCTCTGTTACCCATGCCTACTGCTAAATTCCAGTTGCATCTCCATTGTGGACATGTCACCTTGTTCTTTTGTCTTTTTAGTATAATTTTTATTATTGGTATGTGTTGCTTCAGTAAGTGGTTTGTGTCGCTTCTGTAATTTTGTAGCCTCGTTGTCTCGCGATGGTTTTAGTGCTTAGTATGTCACGTCTTGTCTACGGGACATATCAATCTAGGGATTCCTCGTTCTAGTGGTGTGATTTGTGTGATGGCCGTATAGGGGTTTAAAATTATTTGTAATTTGTGATTATTACTTCCAGATCAATAAATTGATCACTGGAGCATATGTACCCATCTAGCATCCTTGTAAGTGGATGGTTATGGTAACGAAATTCTATCGTTTCTGTCCAAAAAAAAAAAAACAATAGATTTGCAAATGACCGCAAGTGGCTATCTACCACAATGGTGGAGAGGAGTGTAATCCTTGTATCACGGCGTGGGTTCAAACCCCGTTGACTTTCTAATCTAACATCTGATCTAATAAATTTATCGTTTGACAACAAAAAAAAAAAAAAAAAAGAAAAAGAGATTTGCAAATGACCCCCCTCCTAATCATTGTATCCACTAATTTAAAGTCCCTCCATTTAGTTTTTTATAGTGCATTTCTAGTTATATTTAGCCTAACTTCCTACTCCTCGTCCGAACATAACCTTGAGGTCTTATAATTATTACCAATTATAGTTAAGACATACATTCAAATATGATTCTACACAACCAGTAGCTCTGATTATGACATACATTCAAATATGATTCTACACAACCAGTAGCTCTGATTATGATGTATGATAACAGTCTGAGTATTTGGCAAGAAATGAATTCCCTAAATAAGTTGAAGAGTACTTAAAGAATTTATAACCTAGATTACTATATATTGAGGTGAACAATTTTGAAGGATTATACTTAGCAATGGACTTGCACCAGTTAAATTTTTTTTTACAAAAAATAAAAAATAAAATTGATCATATCAATCCTATCATATTCTTAGTTATTTAATTACGACCTTTTAAATTAAGTACAGATTTAAAGATATGATAATACATCTAACGAATTTTAGTGCAATTTTACAACAAGCCTTCCCCTATGATTGTATGAGTGAAAGTTAAATCTCATGAAAAATGAAGAACTCATCTCAAATTCGACAATGAAAAAGAGCATAAGCAAACAATTCCTCTATTAATTCACCCTTTCCCTCCCCAAACATGCATCCAAATCCACTAAAATTTAATTTCCAAGGAAATTTTTTTCCGATATATTTCCCACATATATATTATATTATAATATATTGTATATATTCAGAAAATAGAGATATATACCTAGGGCCGCTGGAGAACTCAGAGAGCTTTCCACGGGTGGAGAAGACGATGAGAGCAACCTCAGCATCACAGAGAACTGAGAGCTCGTACGCCTTCTTTAGCAGCCCTTTCCTTCTTTTTGCAAATGTTACCTGTCGATTTATCTTATTCTCGATCCTCTTCAGCTCCACCTTCCCTCTTCCCATTCTTCTTTCAACTGGTAATAATATTTAAAATATATTTCAGTAATATTTTATGTTTTGTGTATATATAAAATTATAGCTAGTATGGTACTAGGTTTTCCTTTTTAATATTCGCATTCTTTAGGGTAAGCTAAGTTAGGCTTTTGAGAGAGAGAGAGAGAGAGAACTTTTTGAGGAACTACCTTGTTGGGTGTTCCTTTAGCTCAACAGAGGAAAGAATCAAAGAATAAGCAGGAGTGTACTATGTACTGTTGGATGTTATATATTTTCCCTTCTCATTCACGACCGATGGAGTGTTGCTTTCTTTCTTTTTTCAGTTTTCTTTTGGAAGATGAAGTACTAAGGTCATTCATAATTTAAATGTTTATTACATAAAAATGTGACAGCAATGTCTAGCTCCATCTTAGACATTACCAACTTTAGGAGTTTTACATGTCGGTGAGGAGAAATTCTGGAGTCTGACATCCAGATCACGTGTTTGTGCGACCCCAGACACAATAAAGCCAACATACCCCACGCCTTGACAGTGAGGCTCACCACTACACCATGTAAGGATCTCACACCACCCTACCTCTGAGTCCCCGACGGAATAATTTCTCATGGATGAGAGAATGGCTTGGGAACTAGTCAAACCAAAGCTAACTCAAACTTCACCAAAAAACTTATCTACGTAACCATGTCTTAAAATTCAACTCGAGTCACTTAGATAAGTTTTTTGGTGAAGTTTGAGTTAGCTTTGGTTTGACTAGGTCCTAAGCCATTCTCTCATCCATGAGAAATTATTTCGTCCAAGACTCAGAGGTAGGGTGGTGTGAGAGGGGAGTGAGATCATTACATTGTGTAGTGGTCCAACTAAAACTCATCAGTGATATTGGTGGTGGACCTTTATGAGCCTTAGAAGTTTATCGTGGTATTATAACAAACTATTCTTTCAACACATCCTTGGCCCGATTTATTGAGCTCTAATTTTCCCTCCTTAAGTTCGGCTTTCGAAAAATTGCGTTAGCTCTAGCTTAAAGATATTGAATGACTGGACATTGAAAAATTACGTCGGCTCTAGTCCTCAAAATGATGACTGGTTTCTCGAAAAGTTTTGTTAACTCCAGCATAATGACTTGACCATTTCTCGATGGGGGAATTGGTTTCTCTTGTGATCCCATGTGGGGCCACTCGTGAGGGGTATGTATTGAAGAATAAGATTTCACATCGTTCATATGACAAAATAATATACAAGTAATATATGAGAGTTTCTACCTCTAATATCACCGAGACCTTTTGTGATATAACCCAACACCTAGAAATAAATGATTAAGTTGAAATAATATTGGTGATATTGGTGATGAAATTGCATGGGTCTATAAAGTTTGTCAGGTGTTCCATTTGTAAGAATGCTAAAACAACAATGGTACATATACATATACACAAAATACTGGTACCTTAAAGAGTTTTTGTCACCGTTAACAAAACTAACGCCTCTTTATTCAATAAAAAAATGAATAGTAAAGTGAGATACAACTGATGAGTACAGGGGTGTGTTATCCACACATTTTTTTTTACTTCCCATACATCTCTTTTTATTTATCACACACCCCATAATAATTTCTGTCATTTGATCTTCTTCAATTCATCTAATCCGACAGTCGAAAATTAAAAAAGTGTGTTAAGAGTGTATAAATATCACATTCCAATAGAATAAAGTGAAATTTCATATATTGTACTGCGCATAGTAAAAAATAATCCTAATTAACTTGTCGAGGTTTCCCTGTACTTCTAGAAGACTCAAAACTCCACTAAAGCACTTGTTCTCCATGATGTGAAATTAATCCAATGTAAGTCGTGGAATATTATCTTGTGAATTGAGGTGTATATGGACCATGGTGGATTCTAAAATGCTGTTGAATTAATGGTAGTGATATATCAATGGTTAATTTGCAGGTCAATAGAAAACCCCTTATGTTGTTTACAGATTTCCTTCAGCTTATAAAGTCCATGGAAATGGAAAACGTGCTTTTTGGTATATGTCAATGGTGACGGCCAAATTTAAACTTGGATAGTGCTATCCACGCACCTTTCGTTTGAGAATTCTTTCTTTCATTTTGTATTTCAGTGTCTTAGGGCAATCTGTGATTAAGGATAGTTTGCTTCCTTCTGCATTTTATATTTTATATTTACACACACACACACACACACACACACACACATACGTGTGTGGTCTAATCTTGGATTAAGATCTACCATCTCGGTCTGATTTTTTTGGCTTGGTATTGTTACAAGAACATATGAAGTTAACGGAAGATTTGGTGCAAAATTGAGCATAGTAATGTTTTATGATTTATACAACCGAGCTCACTTAGTTGGATAATGCTTTGTTGTTGTTTTTTTAAGGAAAGTGCTATTCACACACCTATTTTTACCGCACCACACATCCTTATTAATTTTTTGTTATTAATCTTTTTAGTTCATTCAATAGGATAGCTGGAAATTGAAAAAAAATATGTAAGAAGTAAAAATAAATATGTAAATAATACTGCCCTTTAAACTTAGCGAATTGTTATTGGCACTCCAAACTTAAAGAAAAATACACTTGTAAGAAGTGTAAAATAAGATTTTTAATGTGTCAATAACACTCTACCATATAAACCCCTGAAAATATGATCTCGAATTTGTAATTTCCCCTGAAAATATGATCTCGAATTTGTAATTTGGTTGAACTGTTACTTTAATCCAAAAGGCGTTGGTTTTTTATTTTCTTTGAGGGACCAACACCATTCAGATATGATCAAAATACACAATTTTGAGTCGTCGGAAAACTAACGGTGAGATCTTAAAAATAAGGATCTAATAGATATTCATAATTTTGTATAAAACTCATATCATTATAGTATATACTATTGTAGTAAAACTCCAAAATATAAGAATACTAAATTAAAAAAAAAACTATATATGACGCGGTTGGACATCGTAAACATGTTGTCATTATAAACAAGGATGGTGCTATAACACACTCATTTTTTCTCTCACATACTTTTTTTAAATTTTTATCTTGATTTTAAGAAGTACATGAGAGATAAAATGGAATGTGTGGATAACATAACCCTAAACTAAATACATGAGGAACACTCTTGTTTTTTGAACAAATAATATTATCCAACTAAAGGGAGGAAGATAGGTTTAGCCTCACAATTAGCTAGTAATAATGTGGTTCAAATTCGCTTTTAACGTACTTAAAAGCACCCATAATATGTAAATGGGATCGGGGATTGTCATGTAAGGTCATCTTCAACCGACCCAACCAAATGGCCTTAGGGTTAAAAATAGTTCTGAATGACACGAAAACCGTCTCCAATCAAAGACTAGGCCAAAGGGTTTGTGGGCCCCATCGGGGCCAAACCCTAAATCAGGCCAGCATGCTGGGCATTTCCAGCCAGCCACCAGCCCTCCAGCTCAACCCATTTGAATGCCAACGGCTTCCTGGCGTCAACATGACGCCAGCCAGCAGCGGCTAGCTAGCTAACGTCATGCTGCCATCAGGTTACCGTTGGAATTTGAATTTTTTTTTTTTTGCACGAATTTAAAAAAAAAATCTAATTTATTTTCCTATAAATACCTACACCATTCCTACAACATTGAAAGCTGAAGATAAGAAGTGCCATGTAGATAAGAATCCTATCTAAAATTTGCACAACCAATTATATCTCGACGTGTGGCATTCGAAATCCTATTTGAAAAATTATTAAGATTACATAAAGATAAGAAATATAGAGAGTTACTTTAGCAACACGTGTCACTCGAAATCATATCCGAAAAATTATTGAGATTACATAAAGATAAGAAATCTGGAGAGTTACTCACATTAGCGACACATGTTACTCGAAATTTTATCAGAAAAAATTATTGAGATTATATAAAGATAAGAAATACGGAAGCTTTTCATTTGGGAACAAGTGGCATTCAAAATATGTTTAAAAATCTTATTTTAATATGGTAGTTTAATTTAATTGACCATATTAATTTAATTAAAATAATAAATTATATTTGACATATGATCCTTTGACCCTCTCATTTGAAGATAATATAAAATATAATCTAGCACTATTTATTAAAATATAATTTCTTACAGAACTATCATTTGATCTTCCTTCGGTTAAAAATAACCTAAGCGATACACATCAGACGGAGTCATGGACTGGCCTTATCCACCCAGAGGACCCAGACCCAACAACGACAGAATGACTGATGGTAGCAGGAGTAATTAGACCACCTTAACACGTGTCAGACGCTGAATCACCAATGGTACCCAATTTTGAACAATTTGTACTACAATTATTGAAATTTGAACTGAATTGGGCCGTATAAACATAATTTTAAAGTGTTTTTAAGCTCCTTTGAGCCGAACGGAAACCCAAATGTCTTTAGTTCATAAAAAGATGGCCCAATATCCCTAGTAGAAAAATAAATATGGGTGCAAGATGACTACTTTATATTCCTATTAACCATTTTTTTAACCATCTTTAATCAACATTTGTTTCATTAAAGTGATTTTGAAAGAGGGAGAAATCGAACTTAGAACATTACGTGAAGAGGCGAATATTCTTAATCATTTGAATTATATATTCTCTGAATTTTTTATCATCGAGACTTAATATTAACTTGTGCATATATACAAGATTAAAAAAGAAAAGGAACCAAAACGAAAAAAAAATAAAAAAACTTGGAGTTTATCTACAATGCCTATATGGCCGACATCATTTTCAATTTGTACAAGAGGACACCAGGTGCTTCTCTAAGTCATGTTGCCCAAACCAAGCTAGGAGACACGAATGACGTCTTTGTTGGGAATGGTCAGCAATTTTGTTATTCAAAGTGACATATCAGAGCAATGTCTTTCCAGGCGACAAGAGGGTTGGAATTTTGATAATATAATGCATATACTTTTAGGTGGTTGAGCACTATGTGTGTAGTTACCATGACCACGTATTTGAGGGATCCCCTTCCGTGAGGGATCTCTTAAATAAGTTTATTGTACAGATTTTTTTGTGAGACTCATTCCATATTGTATTTCGACGATTTAATCATCTATTTTTTAGGTCTTCCTTCAAATGTCATTTTTATCAAAAATAAATCCTAAATCCAATACAATTTGACCGTTGGATTAAATAGTGAGTCATATTGGTGTTTATTTGAATAACTGAATTCATCTATTTTCTTCACTGCAATTGGATATCTTAATAATTTTAGATTTCTCTGAACTTTTGAAGGAAGATTTACGAATGATGTACTAAAATATTGATGGTTTAAATCGTTGAAAAAAGTTACGAAATA